CTAAAAATGAGGTGAACAAAAGTCTCATACTTTATTCAGCCCACTTTATTCAGAGAATTAGACAATTTATACTATAGGGTTAAGAGTCACATGAGTAAAGCATCCAATCACAAGGATAAGCCTCATGTAGGTAAGCTGTACATGGCAAAACAGGTTTTCCCAAAGAGGCTTATAAACAACTATAGCCAGTTGTAATTAATAATTTGAAGTAAACCCACTCCTACACAACACACCTTGGGAGGGTCATAGATGCATATTCCCAGAACAATTCCATATTTTTGAAGAAACAGGTCACAAGTCTAGTCTTCTTGGAGTTTGCTCACAAGCATACAGAATTCCCCCTGCAAGACTCCATTTTTGGACAGTGTTCCAACACATGATGAAGCCTTATACTCCCCAAGTATGCTTCCTATCCCCCAAACTTTTAATTCTTTAAACAATTTACATTTGTTTGTATATGTGTAACTCCCCCCCTCGTCTCTCTCTCTCTCTCTCTCTCTCTCTCTCTCTCTCTCTCTCTCTCTCTCTCTCTGTGTGTGTGTGTGTGTGTGTATGTGTGTGTGTGTGTTCATTCAGAAGCTAGCTTGGGGAGTTTATTACCCTTTTACCATGTAGCTCGAACTTAGGTCATCTAACAGTCTCCTCCATTTATTTATTTGTTTGTTTGTTTGTTTGTTTTTCAAGACAGGGTTTCTCTGTGGCTTTGGAGCCTGTCCTAGAACTTGCTCTGTAGACCAGGCTGGCCTCAAATTCACAGAGATCCATCTGCCTCTGCCTCCCAAGTGCTGGGATTAAAGGTGCCTGTCACCAACACTCAGCTCCTCTCCCCTCCACTTTTTAAAGAAGGTTTGTTTTTAATTTTTAAAATTACTATTATTTTTATTTCATGTGCTTTGGTTTTTTGCCTACATGTATAGACATGTGAGGGTGTTGGGGCCCCTGGAACTGGAGTTACAGATAGCTGTGAGCTGCCATGTGGGTGCTGAGAATTGAACCTGGGTCCTCAGGAAGAGCAATTGGTGCTCTTAACCACTAGGTCATCTCTCCAGCCCCTGAAGATTTGTTTTTAATATGTGTGTGTATCTGTGTATGGGTATGTGTATGGGAGTTCAGTGCCCATGGAAGCCAGAAGAGGGCGTCAGATCCCCTGGAACCAGAAAATTGTGCCTTACCTGATGCGGGTGCTAGGGACCAAACCTAGGTCCTGTGCATGAGAAGTACACGCTCTTAGCTGTTGAGCCATCTTCATAATGAGAAAGTCTTAAGATAGAAACTTTAGAAAATAAAAGATAAGAGCTGACTAACTAAAGTTATAGATAATCCTAAATTCTCCCATTACGTACTTGGCACTGTTAATTTTTAACATGGCATTATGTTTTAGAACCCACCCCCCCCAAAAAAAAAAAAAAAAAAAAAAAAAAAACAGGGTTTCTCTGTGTAGCTTTGGCTGTCCTGGAACTCATTCTGTAGACCAGGCTAGCCTGAAACCCAGAGATCACGTGTATCTGACTCCTGAGTGCTGGAATGAAAGGTGTGAACCACCGCCTGTCCTGTTTAAGAGCTTTCTATAGAACTTTCTGCTGAGAAGACTGTCGTTAACCTTGGAAATTGGATTAAGATCCTTGTCATACTAGTCAGTAAGAACTCAGGAGACTCACTCCTTGCCCATCTTGGCGGCTGCTCTTGATTGATGGCTGCCCTACACCTAAGACAGGAAGATGGTGGCTGCAAGGAAGGTGACAGCTCTAGAGTTGATCTCTTCTAGCCACCAATTTGTTACGGGAAGTGGAAAGTACAGGCCGGGGCAGACAGACTCTGAAGCTCACCAGACAGGGCAAAGCCAAGTTGTTTTGTTTTGTTTTTTTGTTGTTTTGTTTTGTTGTTTTTTTGGTTGTTGTTTTGAGACAGGGTTTCTCTGTAACTTTGGACCCTGTTCTGGAACTCGCTCTGTAGACCAGGCTGGCCTCCAACTCTCAGAGATCCCCTTGCCTCTGCCTCCCAAGTGCTAGGAGTAAAGGCATATGCCATCACCGTCCTGCCAAAGCCAAGTTCTTATCCTCACCAACAGCTGCCCAGCTATGAGGAAATCTGAAATAGAGAATACTATGCCATGTTGGCCAAAACTGGTGTCCATCACTCCAGTGGCAATCAGTAATAGTGAATTGGGCACAGCATGTGGGAAATACTATAGAGTGTGCATGCTGGTAAAAAGTAAACCAGGAAGGTTTTTCTTGAATAAAACTTGGCCAGAGCTCATTTGAAAAGGAAAAAAAAAGATGGGGGGGGGGGCCTGAAAGACTGGTGGTGTGTGCTTCTTTAATCCCAGTACTCAGCAGCCCGGTCTACAGAGTGAGTTCTAGGATAGCCAGAGCTGCAAAGAGGAAACCCGTCTGGTGAAGGGTAGGGGTAGGGTAGAACTTAGTTAAAGTATCTATTGGAGCAAAATGAAGAAGGGTAGATGTTTAAAACATTTTGTGTTTCGGGGTGGTGGTGGTGGTGATATACATTTTTAATCCCAGCATTGGGGAGGCAGAAGCAGGAGGATCACTGAGTTTGAGGCCACCCTGGTCTACAGAGTGAGTTTTAGGACAGCCAGGACTGTTTCATAGAGAAACCCTGTCTTGAAAAACAACAACAACAACAAAAACAGCAACAAAAAAGTTTTGTGTTTATGACAAAAACCAAAAGAAAAAAAAATCTGGGTGGGAGCTAGGCAGTGAGTGGCTCAGTATGAAACATTGGTTGCCTAAGCCTGAGGCCCTGACCTGAGTTCAGATCTTAGCACCTGGCTCTTTTGCTGTAACCTGTGCACTGTGGGCGGTGACATGAAAATCCCCAGGGCTTCCTGTTCAGTGGAGAACTCCTGTCTCAGCGGGTAAAGTGGAGCCTATAGAATGGAGTGCCTGAATTCACCTGGGGCCTCTGCACACACGGGGATGCACAGACTTGTACCCATATTTGCACATATGCCAAAAAGAGGGAAAATTGGGCTAGTTTTTTTCTTTAAAGTTTTGGTACTTGATGTATAATTAATATATTCCTTTCAGAATTACTGAATGTTAATGATACATTTCTGAAATTCCTCTGCAATAATAATAATAATTTGCATCTATTGATCACTAATGGTGTCCCAGTTACTGTGATAGATGCCCTGTTTAATACCTTCAAGTCCTACAGTGGCCTGATGCCTGTGGCTGTGTCCTCACCCAGTAATAGTGAAGCACATAAGTGGCTTGGAGGGAGTTTGTCATCGCCATGCCATCTATCTCAAGAGGCTGAGTCTGTTCCCAGCCAAATCTTTTCTACTTAGTGACACTGAGGCTAGAACTCAGGCCTTGAGCATTCTTCACTGTTTTATATTCCTAGACCCAGAGTGTGTCAATGTAGGATGTCCTCCTCTGTTGTCTTTTTGAGAGCAGAGTCTCACTGAATTTGGGCTTGCCAGTTAGTGAGATGGACTGGCCAGCAAGCCCTAGGTACCCACTTCCCTCCCACATCCACACTGCGCCTTCCTTCATTGGAGATGCCCCAGACCCACCACCCTGGCCTAGAATCTCAGACTTGTGTAGGTGTGTACACACGCTCACAGAGGCCTAAGGTTGATGTCAGGAATCTTCTTGATCTCTGTCCACTTGACTCTTTGAAATACCACCTCAGTCAAATCCAGAGGTCAACGATACGGCTAGTTTCTAGTCTCATTAGCCAGTTTGTGTCAAGGATCCCTGTGTCTACCTTTCACTTTTTGGGCTAGAGTTACAGACAGGCCACCATACCCGTTGGAACTCAGGTTCTTTAGCCACTAATCCACCTCCCCTCCCAGGTCTTTGCATAGAGCTCCCATTGAGGGAGGAAAGTACAGTCTTGTGTATCTCATGTACACTCCTGAGTTCCTCTTGAATGGGGGAAAGAAACTTCATGAGGGGCGGGGGCTTGTTTATCAGGTGTTTTGCTTGTTTGTATTTTCTTGTGACAGTATGTGTGTAAAGCTGGTTCTCCCTCCCAAGTGCCCGTATAACAGGTATGTTGCACACTGCTAGCCGTGTGGAATACATTCTTGAAGCCTTGCTTGAGGTGGTACTCTGCCTTGTTTTTTCAGTTAGTGACCTTCTCTATTGAAGTTTCCAGTTCGCTTAGATGTGATGGAACCTCAGGAGAGTTGGCAGGAAGATGTCTCCTCCCGTTTGAGTTTTGGTTGTCTTTAAGAAGAGAGAAGAGCCAGGTGGTTGTACACACACTCAATCCCCAGCATTGGGAACCAGAGGCAGTGAGATCAAGGCCAGCCTGGTCTACGTGGCAAATTCTAGGTCAACCAGGGATCCAAAGTGTGACCCTGTTTTAAAAATGATTTGGGGCTGGAAAGATGTTTCAGCAGTTTCTACTATTTCAAAGTTCAGCAGTTTCTACTATTTCAGTTCTCAGCATCCACTTGGCAGGTCACAACCATCTGTAGCTCTGGTTCCATAGGATCTAGTATCCCCTTTAGTCTCTCTGGACACTACATATTGTGGTACAATTATACACATAGGCAACACAAACATAAAATAAAAATAAAATCTTCCAAAAAAAGGAGATGGATGATACACTGCTGCTGCTGAATCTGGAATCAAGGTCCCTCCGGGTCCTTGAATTTAGTAAAGCACCTGTCATGGTGGCAGTGTTTCTAGATGTGACAAACAGTGTGTCTGTGCTCTGCCTTGTGGTTTCCCAAGCTTTGAGACTTGTGAAAGCTCAGGGTTAGGGGTCTCAGCAGGCTACTACAGTAGAGTTGCTTGAGGTCTGGGTGGTCCTTTGTATAGCTCTGGGTGTTAAAGTCATGTCTTGCTAATACTGAAAATTGTTTGTCTCAAGGACTGAGAACTTAGAAATCCAAGTAGTTAGAGACTATTTAGATAAACAAGAGAAATGGACATGTAGTCTTCACATTGCACAGCTGAATTTGGGTAGATGTCTGTCTGTAAATGCCGTGTGTCTAATGTTTTCCCACACTGATTTCACAACAGAGAAGAAGACACAGAAAATGAAAATGAAAAGAAAGTCTGGTACTATAGTACAAAGGTCCAGCTTGCAGAATTAATAGACTGTCTAGACAAAGACTACTGGGAAGCAGAATTGTGCAGAGTTCTAGAAGAGACTCGAGAGGAGATGCACCAGCACATGGCCATCACGGAAGACCTGACCAACAAAGCTCGGGGCACCAACAAATCCTTTCTAGCAGCAGCTAATGGTGAGGGGGCCCTCTTGCTTGCTTTTTCTTGTTAAATTTGAGATAGGCTCTTGTATAAAATATTCTGAGACTTGAAAATGTGTTAAAATGTCCAACTTACGCATGCTTTGCTTTGACTCTATATGCCATTTTTTTTTCTACAGTGATGCTATCCATGCTAACATAAATTTGGGTACTGTGCATTTTAGTCTTTTATTTCTTGCCTTGGTCACTGATTGTTGCCACCCACCCTCACAAACATTTATGTTTTGTTTGTAACTCAGGCTGGATTCAATTTATTACATAGCCCAGGTTGGCCTTGAACTCATGATCGTCCTGCTTCAGAATATCGAGACTGTCAGGGGTGTCCACCTTTGCTAGCTCATTTGTATCCTCCTCAGTATATTCCTTGCATAGTGTAGACAACTTTATAGAATATTTTCTTTATTTCAGCCAGATAACTCTCACCCACACAAAATCAAATGGGCACACTTCTTTAAAGGCCGGGTCTCACTGTGTATCCCTGGTTGTCCTGGAACTCAATGTATAAATCAGGCTGCCCCCAAACTCTTAGAGATTCACTTGCCTCTCCCTCCCTAGTGTAGAAATTAAAGATGTGTACCACCACATGTAGCCATAAAGATCTTTTTTTGTTTGTTTGGTTGATTGGTTGATTGGTTTTTTGGTTTTTCAAGACAGGGCTGGCTGACAGCCCTGGCTGGCCTCTAACACAAACCTGTGTAATGTTTTTTTTCTTAAATACTTAAATATATTGGTCATTAAACTTTTTGAGACAAGGTCTCACTATGTAGCCCTGGTTATCCTGGAATGTGCTGTATAGATCAAGCTGGTTTTGTACTTAAACACCTGCCTCTGATCCCTTAGTGTTTGGATTCAAGGTACACACCGCCAAGCCCAGCGAACATTAAAATTCCTAAGTGGCATTTGTTAGTAACTTTATATTTGACATGGGGTGAAAACAATTATATCTGTTTTTCATTATAGAAGAAATTTTGGACTCCTTAAGAATCAAAAGAGGGGACGATATTGATTGTGATCAGAGCCCAGAAGACACAGAAAAAGACAAGGATGAGGTGGAGAGTGGCAGCTCCAGAGATGCGGAGAAGAACAGAGAGGGTTCAGGAGACCAGTCCCTCGAGAAGGGCAGTGGCGACACAGCCTTGGGTGAAGAGCCTGGGCAAGGAAAAACTGAGGGTAAAAGAATTACTTGGTTTAAAAGAAATGTTTGATTAATGCTTTTTGTTTGAAACCTCCAATTTTACTTGTCAAATGGAAATGAAAAATTTTACAGCAAACAGCTATTTTTGATTTCTAAAGATATTTAAGAGTGTCCCTTGTAACATTACAACCATTGGAATGAGTTTTGTGTATTGATGGATTTACAATAATGTTGTACTTATATTCCCTAAGAAGTTGGCATCCCTTGAAATTTGTTGATGAAAAATATATACCAGAATATACACTTTGGTATGTGATAAAATATGTTCTTAAAAAAAGAATTAACTCTCAAACATTCTTACTATCTTACTCTTTATCTTTGGATGGCCTATTGCAAAGCTGTCCCAGCGTCTGAATTGCTTTGAATTGGCCACCAAAGAGAAGCAGGGTTTTTGGTGATTGATGGTTTTTAGTAGTTGATTGAATGTGGCCACTTGTCCAAAAGCAATTTTAAAGCATATCTTTAAAGTTTTGTTGTGCGTTTTGCTGTAGAGCCAACAGAAGTTGGGGATAGAGGTAACTCTGTGCCAGAAAATCTTGGTGACAACACAACTAATGCTTCTTCAGAAGAGACTAGTCCCTGTGAAGGGAGGAGCCCCGAGGGCTGTCTCTCAGAAACCCATGATAGCAGCAACATGGCAGAGAAGAAGGTGGCACCTGAGCTCCCCCCGGACGTACCAGGTACAGAGGGCAGTGTACCAATGCCTCTGTAATGGGGGGAACCCTTCCCTTTGCAGTGAAAGCTGCATGTCACCTAGAGCCCGGAAGTCTGCATTCATTCATGCTGCTTGCTCACAGTGCCATTGCTGATTGCTAAACTGTCACCTAACATGGATGTTTGGCAGATGGTCTTGCCAATAGTGCCTGGAACTCCCTCTTAGTGCTTGTGCTTGTGTTTCTTAGATGGATTTGTATGCCTGGTCACCAGACCATCCTGGCAGAGATTTGATTTGAGTTACTCACATAGTAATGTCTGTCTCCATGTTGAGTTGAGGCTCTGTATATACTAACACATTAATTTTCTGTTTGCATGTGCTCATGTAGTGCTACATGTCAGATCATAATATATATTGGCAGAGAATCCATCATCACCAATCGTTTTTGCAAGGTGCATTGATATGTTAACCAATAATTCTAACTGTAACCTTTTTAGCATGGAAATTTTACTTGGAGTAAGTTATCATACTAAGAATGTGTAATATGACCTTTTTGCTTTTCAAGAAATCCAAAGGTATTTTTATTACAGAAGATTAAAATCAGAAAATAAACACCGGTATATCACCAAAAAAAAAAAAAAAAAAAAAAAAAAAAGTCATAGTTGAGGAAATCCTTAAAGGTCCTTTCCTGTGTATGTAAAAATATTGCTGTTTCCGAATCTGAGTTCTGTTATTGCTGTGTGTTAGTTGTGCTGGGATGTACCAGCTGTGTTGGGAGCACTGCTGTCTAGAAGATGTGCGTTCTAGGTCTTGTGCCCATAAATCAGTGCCATCTAACCCTTTAAGGGCCTCCAGGTTTCTGATTGGAATGTGAAGGAGTTGGGCGGCCAGCTTGGAACTTTGCTGAAAACCCTTAGGTTTTATACAGGCTCCACGTGAACCCCAGCTGTCAGCAGAACATCTGACATGGTTGACGGTGTGGGGACTGTGGGAGATCTGGAAACTATACTCCAGTGAAGCGGGGAGCGGTTGACTGGGTTTGACGGTGCAGCCCGTCCGTAGTCTCAGTGCTGGTAAGGCAGGCAGGAACTTGGGCCATGCACAGTGAGCTCCAGGCTAGTTGGGGTTCTGAAGTGAGACCCTGCGTGAACATACAAAGAGTTTTAAAAAAAAAAAAAAAATCACTTAGCCCAGGAAACTAGTTTTGGTGGTTGGAAATCCAATATTCCTCAAGTATTTGGGTGCACTGACCTGGGGATCCAGTAGGGATTCAATGTGCTGAAATTTGAAGTCATAGAAGTAGAAATAAACTAGAGTGAAATTTTGATTGAATATTAACAACTTTATTAAAATTAAAATTGTTTAGAAAACAGATCTGTCAGTGAGACAGGTGATGTTTCCCAGGAGTGTTTCCTCAGGGACTGAAGGAACACGGGCTTAATTCAGTTTCACAGCTGAGCGCTTCTAGGTTTTGGTCAGTTTTAGTCTCATTTTCATGTATTCGGGGTGAAAGGTTTTGAAGGTTGAATACTGAACTAATGTCGGGGAAAAAAAAAAAAACCTTCCGTGTTTGTTATTTTGTCTCTTTCGATGGATTAGTTCTTAATGTAAACCTCAGACATACTAGGCCTTCAGGGTTGACATAACTGACCTGTTTTTAAACCAAACTTGGTTGAGTTTGATCTGTTAGATCTGTAAATTCCATCTTTGTATGCTGTTTTAACATTATTTTACATTTACTTATTTTGTGTGGGCAAGTATGAGTGAGCGTGTGTATAGGCATCCATATGCCCATGAGAGATCCAAGGGCTGGAGTCAGTTTTCTTCTTCCTGGGATTGAACACAGTTTGTCAGGCTTGGCAGCAAGTATCTACCTTCTGAGCCATCTTGCCAGCCGTCATTTTTGATTTTATCAAGTAGTTAATAATTGTAATGAGTTTCAGACTCGGCAGTTGAGTGGGAACACATCCATGACCAAAGTAGAGTGGAGTCCTCATGTCTGCGTTCTGGTGGACAGCAGTAGACCTAGAGTGCCCTCTGACCTCCAGAGAGGACGCTCTGCCGCCTCCTCAGGCTCTGCTCTGCTACTCTGTGTTCTTACTTGTCCAGCAGGTAATTGTGTTACTGTTCTGTGCCCCGGGAGGGCGCTGTGTGCTCAGGGAAGCCCCAAACCATTCCTTGTTGTCACTGTTGATGATCTCTCTGGTCAGTGGATGAGGCGGTCAACTCTGGTAGGGAACATCTCGCTTGGTTTTCTTTTCTAGAACGTAGAGAATATATTTAGACATGACATTTATTGATTAAAAAGCCTTTTGATACAATAATATTATCAGAGTGGGTGGAGAGATGTTCTGGGTAAGCTATATTTCCTTGAAGTGGTAAGTGGTGGATGTTTACAAAGTGAACGAACACCCAAGGACCCTGCCCTCCAGAGATAGTGTCTGTTCTGCAAGAACCAGTGTACTTAACTGCTGTGCTGTCTCTCCAGCTTCCCATGATAGTTATTTAAATAGTTTCTGGTGTGGGGCCATAATGAGTAGAGTCTCCAAGGGTCTCCAAAGGGCTTGTGCAAGCTTTCCTAACAGTGTGAGAGCTCTGCCTACATACAGGACATCATTGCCTTCAAGTGGCATTAACACTGTCACTTTTTCCTTCCTTTTGGGACAAGAGTAGAGAGGAGCCTTCCAGTTGGCATGTGGGTCTGGGGGGAGGGGTTGTATTGTGATTTGTAACTGTAGTTACCAAGTGACTGGGGACACTGTGTGTGTGTGTACAGGTCTTTTGATTTTCCTCTTTAATGAAGTGCCTGTCATTTCCTTTGTACACTTTGTGTTTGTTTTGTTGAAAAACATAAGTCTTTTTTCCTTAAGGCTATCTTCACTAAAGCAAAAATTCCCATGTTGCTTTTGTCCAATTAATAATCCTTGATTAAGTGCAACTTGGTTGTAATCATTTTTCTTATCTATTACTGCACCTGATTTTCTAATACTTTGACTAGGGTTTTACATCTACTTTCATAAGTGAGATTAGCTTATATTTTCCTCTGTCCTTATCTGTCTCTAATAACGAGACTATTTTATCTTCATTAAAAATAATCTTGGAGCCAGGTGTCGGTGGCACATACCTTTAATCCCAGCACTCAGGAGGCAGAGGCAGGCAGATTTCTGTGAGTTTCAGGCCAGCATGGTCTACAGAGCTAGTTCCAGGACAACCTCCAAAGCTACACAGAGAAACCCTGTTTCGAAACAACAACAACAAACAAAAAAACAAAACAAAACAAAAAATCTTGGGGGCTGGTGAGATGACTCAGTGTGTAAAAGCATTTTCCATGTACACTTAAAATCAAGTTCAGGAGCCAATGTTGGAAAGCAGTAACTAACTCCTGAAAGTTGTCATCTGAACTCAACATGCATCCTGCGGCACATACACCCCCCCAAAAAAGCACATACACTATAATAAATACAGTTTAAACAGTAATGGTAATTTTGAGCTGGAGCGGATAGTTCAGCCATTGAAAGGACTGAGTCCTACCCCCCAGAATCTGTAAGTCAGGCATGATGGCAGGTGATCTCAGTGCTGGGGAGACTGGCCAGTCAGTCTAGCCTCTTTACAGAGTCCCAGGCAGTGAGAAACCACTCCAGAGATTTCAGGGCTGGTGAAGATGGCTCAGTTGCTCTTGCTGGGCAAGGCTGACTATATGAGTTAATTCTCCAGAACTCACATAAAATTAAAGCAGAGAACTGACTCCAGGAAGTTATTCTCTGGTCTCTGCACACAGCTCTTGCATGCTTTTCTCGTGTGTGTGTGTGTGTGTGTGTGTGTGTGTGTGTGTGTGATGGTCCAGCTTCTGAAGTCAAGGCTCTGATGGGCTCCTCCCGTGTCTGCTGTTAGTGCTTCAGCTTCCCTCTCTACAACTGTAGGTTGCAGCTTACAGTGTTTTTGCTGTCATGTCACTCGCTTTTGTAATAAATTAATTTTGGGTGGTGATGGGTGTGGGACCTAGAGCTTGTGCTCAGGAGGCAAGCAATTCCCAGTGTGAGTTTGACATTGACAGATGTCTCTTGTATGCTTGATGAAAGCACACACATACACATTTGTTGTTGGGTATAGTAGAAGACAGTGACATTGCTCTAATTTAGTGCCTTCTTTCCCTTCATTGTAAAGTGTTTTCAGTTCATTTTTAGCAAATGCATCCTAATGTTGATATTTTCTTTTGAATTAATATTTTAATCATTTTGAAATATACATAATATTTACTAATGTTTTCAAGCTATACTGCCTTTCTTCTGGTTGGCATTTATTTTCTATAGTAGAAAAGTTTTTTTGAAGTGTGTGTATGTCTGCGTGCGTGCGTGCGTGGGTGCGTGCGTGCGTGCGTGTGTGTGTGTGTGTGTTCATGTGAGTGCAGATGCCCATGGAGACCAGAAGAGGGCATCAGATCCTCTGGAGCCAGAGTTAGAGGCAGTTGTGAACCAGCTGATGGGGGTACTGGGAACTAGCCTCAGGTCTTCTCCATAACAGTGAGTGCTCCAAGCCTCTGAGCTATATTTGCCGCCCCCAGAGTGGAAACATTGTAACATTAAATTGTATTTATTTACTTTGGGTTAAGGTATGCCATGGCATGTTAGTAGAGCTGGGAGAACAACATAGTATGACTTGTGGAGGTCCGAGGACAACTTGTGGAAGTATGTTTTCTCCCTCTACCATGTGGTTTCTGGGGATGGAACTCACTCAGGCTTGACAGAAGCCTTCACCAGCTGAGCCACCTTGATATGAAAATTTAAAATCTAAAAATGCATACATTTTCAAGTTTTACCTTGACATAACATCTCAACGGAGAGCAGTATCACTTTCAGGGAATTTGGTAAAAGGAAAAATGACAGGTTTAGCCTAAACACAAAGGATCTGAATATTAAAGTAGGTATGCTATGGTAACCATCATATTGGATGCAGTCAGAGACCCAAAATATTTCATGTGGCTCAGGTGAAAGAATGCTAGACTTGAAAGTTGGGTGGTGGTATTTTGAAAGACAGCATTTTTATTTACTGTATGCATGTGGGTTCAGGGTCTAGAATTTGGCAAGTATCAGTAGCAGATAATACTAACATTTCTGTAAGTCCCTTTTCTTTTATGGTTTGGTTTGGGGTTTTGTTTTTTGGGGAGGGGGCTAGTGAGACACTGTCTCTCTGTGTAGCCCTGGCTGTTCCAGAACTCGCTCTGTAGACGAGGCTGGTCTCAAACTCAGTGATCTGCTGGGACTAAAGGCGAGCGCTAGCACCACCAGCTGCCCTTTGTGTTCTGTTTAGTTTTGTTTTGAGTCTAAGCCTCCTGCTCAGTCTTTCTGTCTCAGCCTATTGGGATTGCAGGTGTGAGCACAAGGCCCACCTCCCCATGTGACATCAGTTTGCATTCTTTTGGCTTGAATGAAGTGGTCATATTTCCATATGTTTAAAGGCAACTTTAATTCCTTCGTGATTATTCCTGTGTTCTCTAGTCTGTATGCTACGGTAACCATCATATTGGGTGCAGTCAGAGTTCTAAAGCAGTTGGTGGGGCCATTGTTTTCCTCAGTCATCACTGTATTTCATGTAATTGGTGTGACCAGATGTCATTTGTTTTTTACTTAGTGGTAATACCTTGTCAGTGACCAAGAAGGAATGCAGGCAGCCTCGCTTTTCTGAAATCCCATGGGTTTTAGCTTTTCCTCATACTAATTTCTGTACTGGTAAGGAACTAAATTGCTAGCGATGCTATGAAATTACCTAGAAAATGTGACCTGTTAACATTTAGACAGAAAACCTTAAGGGTAAAGAGTCCTCATAAACTCCATTTCCATGGAGATCTTTGAAACTCTTGAAGTGTGAGAATGTAAGCTTCGTGTTTTGGGTGTTTTTTTTTTTTTTTTTTTCCTGCAAAATTACTTCTTCTGTATCTGGTGTGCCCTGAGTTATATGTGCAGCCATTGCCTTGGTTGTTTTTTCCTCGACTCTGAACTGTTGGAAGTTAGCTGCTTTGTGTTGGATGACGATAAAGAGCCTCTGAGTGGATGGATGGAGGGACTTCATAGGACTTGTAGGGCAGTGCTTACCAACGTCTTCTCACACAGGGTACCTCACGTTCCTCCACGGTCGACTCTGCTCTCTGCCGTTGAGCATCGTGATGAAGTCCTTCAGCCATTAAGTGCTTTTCTGACATTTAGATTTTGATGTGATCTTCAATGTAAAAATCAGGTATTTTATTTTTCTAGAAGACTCTAACAAGACATGTGACAGCAGTAACACTAGTGCCACCACTACCTCCATCCAGCCTAATCTGGAAAACAGTAACAGCAGCAGTGAACTCAGTTCTTCCCAGAGTGACTGTGCTAAGGCAGCAGATGACCCTGACGCTGCAGAGGGAGACTCCCACACACCTGTCTCTGCTCAAGAAGAGACAGGTAAGAGCGCACTCATCCAGTCAGGGGACAGGGCTTCTTCCTTTTTCTTTTTGTTTTTTTTTTTTTTTTTTTTCTTTAAGCATTTTTAATTTTTAAAATAAAAGTATAGTGGGTTGGAAAGAGTGTTTTGTTTTTGTTTTTTTAATTAACATGAGATCACTGTTTTTGCCTTACAAAAAACCCTGTAAGAGGAGAAAAATAGAAACCTTTTTATTCTCCTGATGTAAAACCACCATCAGTATAATGTTCCTATCTGTATGTTTACAATTTTTTTGTTTTCTTTTTTTTCTTTTTTAATATATAAATGGGATCATTCTGCATGTGTTATTCTGCATCTTGTTTTTTTGTTTTTTGTTTTGTTTTGTTTTTTCCTTTTTCCTACTCAGTGGCCCATGGTAGGGACTCTTCATGTTAGAGTTAAATGCATTGTTTTTAGCTGCTGCATGGTATTTGGCCATCACCATGGTGGTGCTTCCTGCCAGCCTCCACATGTATCTGTATTCTGCAAGCATTTCTGCCATTGTAGGCAACAGTGAATGAGATGACTGGCTGGTCCAATGGTAGGTACTTTTTACAGATAATAGTGGCTACTGCTTAATTACTCACTCAAAAGGGACAGCCTCCTAACTTCCATACTCGTATGTTTCCCTGTTTGCACACCTAAATTTAACACCATTTATCTTTTTTGGCAGTGGTAAGAAGGTATTTCATGGGAAGTACTGCATATCCCCACTTATGAATGTGGTTGCTTCTTTTTGTGTGTTTAATATTCTGTGTTTTGATGATTCCTGTTTTTGCTCATTATGTATCATGGTCATTAATATCTGCTTTGTATATGTGCTTACATATTACTTTCTTGTGCTTAATTCTTTACTGTCTGAAAGTTTTACATTTTTATGTTGTTAAATTTCATCTCTTCCTGCAGGGTTTCTCTGTATGTTGTGTGTATGTGGTTTTTTTTTTTTTTTTTTTTTTTGGTAAGGAAAATGCTTTCACAAAAAAAATATATTCGCAGTAATTTCTCATAAATAATGTAGCACTGTTTTAAATTTATCTTAAATATAATTTCAAACATGACCTAAGGTTGGAGATGTGTTTTACTTAGGACTTTTTGCATTGTAAGTGGCCAAACCATCTTAAAATAGTTTAAATGTAGAGGGACTTTTGTTAGCTTATATAATTGGGAAGTCCAAGTTCTCCTGAAGTGTACATGGATCCAGTGATATAACAACTGCTCTGTCTCCCCTCCCCCAGCCCCCTTCTCCTTTTGAACCAACTTAAATTTGTTTGGTGTGATAATTTCATTCTCTCCTAATACAGACAGGCTTTTTCCAAGTTGCAGGTAAGAAGGCACCAGCAATTTGTTTTCATGTCTTTCCAAGGTCTGTGGCCCAAAGGCAAAGCCCCTACTCCTGCTCCAAATCAAAAGTCTTTGAGGAAGGAATTTGAGTGGCTTATCTTGGATCATATTGTTCCACACCTGTGGCCAGGGCAGGCAAGGTATTATTGATGGCTCCAACAAAAGTGTATGATTGAAATGGGGTAGGAGTGATTTTTCCAAAGTACAAGGGCTGTTTTAAAGATAGGACTGAGCAGATAGCTGCAGCTCCAGCCTTTGGTAGCCCAGTACAGCATGGTCACTCACGTCTGTTCAGTATGTCCAGTTCATATTGCCTCTGTCTATGATGCACAGATCTCACCCTCACCTAAAAATTTCCAAAAACCCTTGGCCCACAATTGTACCCAGTAACTGTAGTTATATCTTAGGCCCTATCTAAGATTTCTGTGTGCTATGCATTAAGTTTGACAGGTTTGGGTGTGTCTTAACTTTATAGCCCATATGAAATTGTGAATTTAGCTGTTTTAAACATTATTGTCCGGGCAGTGGAGGGTCTATTTTGATAGATTTGGGATGGCAACAACAAATGAGAAAAGAGAAGCCTGTGACACGTTCCTCTAGGAGCCATTTTTTTGTGGCAGCCTGGTTTCTGCTGCCACAACAGAATGAGTTACACAGGGTAGGCTTTTGGGAATTGCTGTTGACTGAACAATCATACACAGCAATTTGGAGAGTTGGACAGTTCCCTACCCTCACTCCCTGGGGCAGTTTAACATTCCATTGCAGACTTGTAGGAATTCCCACCAGAACCTGATACTGAGTAACTTGCCTCAGGCTCCATGGACAGAAACCCTTCTGCTTCCTCACTTTGTTTGGTGAGCCTTCGCCCTTTGCCAGAGGGGCTGATTTAGAGCAGAAGTCTATTTTGCCATCAGGTTGCCCATTGAGATTGACTTCTTAATGACAGCATTGTGGCCTTGGGTAGAGTGTGCTCCATGAGCATCTCTCCTCCTCTCCCTGAGTCTTCAGCTCTGACCCTTGCAGATAAAGTTGTTCCTTGCTTTGAGTTTTGCTAAACTAGCAAACGCACAAGATTAATTCTGAACAGCATTGGATTGCAGCTGTACACAGAGGAGCACCTTTCAGAAAGCTCTTGCCCCTCCTTCTGTTTTCAGCAAGTCCAGCCTAAACCCAGACAGCATCATAAAGTCAATTACAGGGTGTAATAAGTGGTCCCAAGAGTTGAGCACCTTGGCTTTAGAGCTCCAGCGCATGGAGAGTCTTAAGAAGATAGCAGTATCCAGGATTGCTGGCTTTCCAGCTTGGCATGGCAAGATACTCAGCCCTTGATCTATCCTGATTGACTCAGTGGCATATTTTGTAGACTAAGTCTAAAAATACTTGCTGGATTATTTAGGACTTACTTCTATTGACAGAAATCTACCTTGCTTAAAATATACATGAAATTTTATTAGGGCTGGTCAAAGCCTCGGGTGCACTGTCAGGTTCAGGAAGCTAAGCAAGGTTACCCAGACATCTTCCTCAGCATTTCCTCTTCTCATGTCTGCCCCAGAGTATTGGGGGATTTTTGTTCCCTGTAGGCAATGGCCTTTCTACTGTAGAGGTCCAAGTTACAGCTTTAATTCACACCCTTCCTGCTCACTAACAGAAAAGCCAAAATGGTAGGTGTGGGTTCAGGCAGAGGCTGAAACATGTGCTCAGCACGTGCTAGGCTTTCAGTTCAGTCTCAAGGAAGAAAAGGAGAGAGAAGAAACCAATTTAAAAGCCAAGAAATGGAGGAGAGTGATGACTGGAGGGAGAGTTGCCTAATGGGATGGTGGGATGTTCTGTCTAGTTCTGTCCTGCTTCCAAAGGCATGCTCCGTGGTCTGTAACCCTGTTGCTGTTACACAGTTAAATTGGGCAGATCACCCCCCTCCAGAGGGAAGGACAGGTAGGAAAAAGATTGAGCCAGCTAGTATTGAACAATCCCCTGAAATGAACAGCTAGTTTCCCGATTTGCATCTGTCTCTGCTTGTCTAAAAAACCACCATGTATATAAAACAATTCCTGTCCCTGGGTTTACCAATGCAACACTTTTTAATTTCTTTTTTTAAGCTTTAAATTAAAAATCAGGCCTTGTTCAATTTTCTAGCCAGTGGAAAAGTATGGTGCTGAATGGCTGGGTAGTATGTTCATTGTCCCATGTGAGATTCAATGATGAATGGCTGGATATGTATGTGCATTATTCCGTGTGAGATTTGTGCACAATGAAAGCAGATCACCATCAAAAATGATGTTATAAAGCAGATGTTGAGAGATCGTTACTTTGTTAAAAAATAATTGTTTTAATGAGTTTTCACAGAGAATTGTGTAATTTTTAGGGAAAAATTCAGTTGGCACTTGTAAAATTCAAGACTATTACTACTTAAGTGGGAAATCTTTCTAAAATTAACTCTATTCTTTTAATATATGAATCCATATTAGATATATAAGGCAACATTTTTGTATGCTTTTGAGTTGTTATGTTTGTTATTTGCAAGTTTTTGGAGTACTCCTCTCCAGTTTCAAAACAGGTAATACTTTTCTGCAAAATAATGAATGACTCATAGTATTTTTGCTCTTTGTTTACTGTTGAGGAAAACTGACATTTGCTTTGCCTATGAAAGGACTTAATCTGTTTGATTCTCTTGGACTTTAGATATATATGGCATAGAAGTGTTGGATAAATAAGGCATTCTTAATTATTTACTTCCTGCCAGCAATCACTTTGTGACATTTTCATTTGGTAATAGGTGACTTCCGATTGGAGAAGTCTAATGGAGAGATGGCTGAGTCCCCTGGAGCTGGGAGAGGAACGTCCGGCTCTACTCGAATCATCACCAGATTGCGAAATCCGGAGAGCAAACTTAGTCAGCTGAAGAGTCAGCAGGTGGCAGCGGCGGCCCATGAAGCAAATAAGTTGTTTAAGGAGGGCAAAGAGGTGTGTTGTGTTAAAACAGACTCTGTGCACTGTGAAAAAATTTAGAATTGTGGACAGGAGAGATGGCCCGAGGTTAAGAGCACCAGCTACTCTCCCATTGGTAACCTTCAACTCCAAGAGGTCTGATGCTTGTGGCCTCCAAGGGCACCTGCACCCATATGCCAACACCCACAGTCAGACACACATTATCAAATAATTAGAATGGGATTGTACCCTGAAGTCTCTAAAAAAGGGACATGGAATTTATAGACTTACTTTTGAGTTATGTTTTCTTTCCTGTAGTGAGTACCAAGAGCAAAAACTTTTAGTCTTGTATTGTGGCAAATACACTCAAATTTGGTCTATTGGAAATTCAGTGGGCAGATGATGTTAGAGTCAACTTTTTTGTTTGTTTGTTTATTGATTTTATTTTATATGCATTGGTGCTTTGCCATGGGTGTCAGGTCCCATGGAACTGGAGGTACAGACAGTTGTGAGCTGCCATGTGGGTTCTGGGAATTGAACCCAGGTCCTCTGAAAGAGCAGTCAGTCCTCTTAAGCACTGAGCCATCTCTCCAGCGCCCTAGAGTCAGCTTTATTGCATACAATTCTTTGTTATTTGTTTTTCCTTTTTTTCTTTTCTTTTTTTTTTTTTTTTTTTTTTTTGTTTTTTTTTTTTTTTTTTGGGTTGGGGGAGGTCCTAAATAGGGTTTCTCTGTAGCTTTGGATCCTGTCCTGGATCTCACTTTGTAAACTAGGATGGCCTGGAACTCACAGATATCCCCCTGATCCTGCCTCCCGAGTGCTGGAATTAAAGGCCATGTGTCATTGCGACCCCCTGTAGCCCATTTCCTGTGAGCACTTGTTGCTAGTAGCTCTTGGTAGAACAGAGAGAGCTATCTTCCTTCAGTAGCCCTGACTGACCAGCAGGATCAGAACTGAAATCGAGTAGCACTGCCTGCTCCCAGCTGTGGGCACAGCATGTTGACAGCTGTGCCTTCAAATGATCTTTTTACTGGATAATTAAGCCAGAGTGACCCATTAGGAGGCTGAAGCAGGGAAGAATGTAGCCAGTTTGAGGCAAGTTTGGACTACTGTTGAGTACCAGGCCAACTCGGACTGTGTAGCAAGTCCCTGTCAAACAAACAAACAAGACCCCTCACAACCCCCACCCATTACCTCTGCATTATCAGAGAAAAATAAACAACCAGAATTGATTTTTATGGTTCACTGAAAGATTGAGCCCAGCTTTTTGCGAACATTATTTTAAAGACCCCAGGGCCTATAGCAACTAAAGTTGGAATAATGAAAAGAGCAGTAGTAGAGAGTTTTAGCCATTTGTTTTTCAGGGTTAGTGTGCCTAGTGCCCTCCTCTTTCAATAAACTTCATGTTAGGGTTTCATAGACAGATAGTGAATATGTGCCATTCACGAACATACCCAGTGGTGTCTAACCTAATCCTCAAGGCCATTCTTTTTTCTTTCTGCAGTCATGTCTTTCTTATTTAATTATAAACGACAGGCTTTCACTTTTGTTTGTTTTTCAAGACAGGGTTTCTCTGTGTAGCCCTTTATAGACCAGGCTGGCCTTGAACTCATAAATATGTGTGTGCATACAAGCTCCCAGATTAATGAGGTGGCATCAAAAGACAACTTTGTGGAGTTAATTTTTTCATTCTACCCTTTTGTGGTACCCAGGAATTAAAGTTGGGTCAACAGACTTGTGTTGAAAGTGTCCTTACCAACTGTCCCCTGCCCTGAGACAGTCTTGCTATGTAGCCCTGGCTTAGGCTTGAATTCATATTCTTCCAGCCTCAACCTCCTGAGTGTTGGCACTATAGGCCAGTTCCAAGTTCTCTTTAAATTTGACTTCATATCTTTAAAAACCACACCAAGCCCCTCCACCAAAAATCAAATAAATAAATAAATAAATAAATAAATAAATAAATTTGGATTTTAAACTTCAAACTTTTAGTCACAAAATGTCTCTTATTTGGAATACTGGTTACACTTAATTGGAAGACAGTTGATCAAACAAAATTTGCATCATTTGTATAAATAATGATGTCTTTATTTTTCTCCTCAGGTGTTGGTAGTTAACTCCCAAGGAGAAGTTTCGAGGCTGAGCACCAGAAAGGAAGTGGTCATGAAAGGGAACATCAACAATTATTTTAAGCTGGGACAGGAAGGGAAGTACCGAGTCTACCACAATCAGTACTCCACCAATTCGTTTGCCCTGAATAAGCACCAGCACCGGGAGGATCATGACAAGAGGAGGCACCTCGCGCATAAATTCTGCCTCACTCCAGCCGGGGAGTTCAAATGGAATGGATCTGTTCATGGCTCCAAAGTCCTTACCATATCTACGCTGAGACTCACCATCACGCAGTTGGAAAGCAACATCCCTTCTTCCTTTCTTCATCCCAACTGGGCTTCTCACAGGTAAGGAATCTCAGGTTCATTTGTTGCTGTAAATATGCTAATTACCTAGAAATCCATCCTTGGATAACTTTGGGTTATCAGAATTTTATCCCTGGGAGCCAAGGGGAGACCAAAGTTAAAGAATATTGTAGGTCAAGCTGTTGAGAGGATTGAGTTGCTCCTGGTGTAGCAAAGCTCCCATTCTTTGAGCTAGGTGCCCTCAGTGTGCCTGTGTGCGCTCCTGCCCCACAGAGCACTTTCTCATTTGAGATGTAAAGCAGAATCATTCTAGACCATGGCTACTGTGTTTTCAGTTAAGGACAATGGAGTGAAATTGTTTCTTCCATCTGAAATGCAGGGCTAATTGGATCAAAGCTGTTCAGATGTGTAGTAAGCCCAGAGAGTTTGCCTTGGCTCTTGCAATTTTGGAGTGTGCAGTTAAGCCTGTTGTGATGCTGCCAATATGGCGAGAATCTCTAGGACACACCAGGTGAGTGAATTCTAAGTCTTGGGATTGATGAGTATAGGATACTTCTGAAATGCTAGATCATTAATAATCATGGAAAAGCCCTTGGGGGGCGTCACAGTAAAGGCTATCTCTTCCCAGTCTCCATTAATTCTCAGGATTCAAAACTAATGCAGAGGAAATGAGAGCAAATAGATTTTTTTATTATTTTAAATTTTTATTTATGGGGCTGGAGAGATGGCTCAGTGGTTAAGAGCACTGACTGCTCTTCCAGAGGACTTGGGGTCAAGTCCCAGCACCCACGTGGCAGTTTAAAAAACTGTGTGAAACTCTGGAACCAGGGGATCTGATACATTCATACCAATGCACATAAAATAAAAATAAATTATTTTTAAAAACCAAGACAAATTTTTCTTTGTGTGTATGTGTGTGTGTACTTGACCATACCATGGGTATGAATAAATGGAGAAATTTATTCTTGTCAGGTGACTAGTGAGAAGCTTTTTTGACTGGACGAAAAGAGCTGTGTCTGCTTTGCTTGTGTGGATGTTTGTTCATCATGTGTATTCCTGGTGTCTGCAAAGGTCAGAAGAAGGTGTTATAACACCCTGGAACTGGACTTTTAGACTGTTATTAGTTGTGTGGATTCTGACAACCAAACCAGGGTCTATGCAAGAGCAGCTTGCATAGCTTGGGGCCATCTCCAGCCCCAGAAGTCACTTTTTTTTTTTTTTTTTTTTGTGAGCTATATGAGATCCTATCTCAGCAAACAAACCACAACAAAATAGTTCAGGGGTTAAGAGCACTGAGTTCAGCTCCCTGCACTCAGGTGGTGATTAACAACTGTCTATAACTCCAGTACTGGGGGATCTCGTGTATTCTTCTGACCTCTATGAGCCCCTACAAACAGGAGGTGCACATATACTCATGCAGGCTCTCATATCTACACATTAAATAAGCAATGAAATAAAGCAATACTCATTTAAAGCAGAGATATGAGATTGAGGGTAGAGGCCAGCCTGAGCTACATGTTTCTACATATACATAACCTTGTCTCAAAAAATATATTTGCTGATCAGAAGCAGCAGAGTAGTGCACTCAGCCTAAGACACTTAGCTCTGCCGAGGACACTGCACACCATTGAACAAGGAGGACATGTTTCAAAGCAAGAGGCCTCAAGTTGATTAAGATTAAAAATCAAAACTAAACAAAACTCACAGTGCTAATTGAAGAAAGACAAAACATGAATTAACTTATATTTTTGTTCTGATACTTTTCTTTTTAAACAGATTTAAAAAAAAAAAAAAAAGCCCAGGTGCCATGGAGGAGGAAATTGGACACACACACACACACACACACACACACACACACACACACACAATTCTAAGTGGAAAAACTGTTACTGTAATTAAATTTAAAAGAGAGCTGACAAATTGAGGGAAAATATTTGAACCACAGATGGAAAATGTTCTCAATTGGCAAAAGCCCAGTACAAGTGTGACAAAGGACCCGGACAGGCATTGTGCAGGAAATACATGTGAAAGGCTAGTAGACACAGAGGATGGTGACTTCTTTCATAATTAGCAATCAGTGGAATGGTATTGTTTCCCTCCCAGTTTGGCTAGCAGTTTGTAAGTGTGACCCTCAGCTCAAAAGGTATGAGGCCGCAGTTGGGTTTGTGATTGATGGACAAGTTCCTTTCACTCCTCCCATGTGGTCAGTATTTCAAGTACAGGAACTTGTGGTCTTTGCCATTCTGTCAGGGAGAACCTTGGAGGGCTACTCCTCATGTCATGAAAGACACGAAATGCAGGTTGTATCTCTGAGTAAACCACAGCATAGCGTTTGGGTGCTGCCTCAGACTAGGTGAGGAGCTGCCAGTTCATTCTCATGGTCTGGCTCTCAGGTGACCATAGAGAGGTATAAGGAAAATCTGTCACCCTCTTCACCCCCCCTCCCCAGAGAAGCGAGGAATGACAACTAGGGCTGCATGGTCCCATCCTGATGGGTCTCTCTTGAGCTTTCAGTAGTGTCCAGGGCTTTGTGCCTAACAGACGAGACTGAACTACAGATCTCGTTGTATTGCTGTCTTTCCCCGTAAAGACATTGGTGGTGGTGGCAGAGCAATAGAATTTTCCTTCAGCACACATGACAATGAACTATACCAAAGCAAAGTGAAGCCTTTGTATGTGGTGGTGAGAAAGGATCTGTTAGCTTGCCAGGCGCCCAGCTGCTCTCCTGATCACTGTCAGCAGAGTGATCTGCTCTGTCAAAGTGATGGTTCAGGGTTTGAGCTGGAGCTGGTCCCTCAGGAATTTATAGAGTAGCTGTGGAAAGGGCTGGTGTGGCACAGTCACACCTTCTCCTATGCCTGAGGCTTGTGTTACTGTAGTTATAGCCCCTGCTTTTCTCCCTAGTTCGGAGACAGGGAACAGCATCCCCTTGCACTCTGCCCAGCAATCTGTGAGGGTCTCTGGGGCCCACAGTTGTCACCAGTGAGCAGTGTATGAAGCTGCATGTTGAGGTCAATGAGCTTTCTCAGTACACGGGAGGACATGGGGAGGGAGAGCACTTCTTTGTTTATTACTTTGAGACAGCATCTCAACGGATAGCCCAGCCCAGTGTGCCCTCAAACTTGAGATTGAAGATACTACTTTAGCCTTCCACGTGCTGAGATGAAGAGCTTTTGCTATTACACCCAATTTTATTAATTTCAAGTATGATGCGAGAAGACTTCCTGGTAGAGTGCTTGCCTAGCATACCCGGGGCCTGTGTGTTAGTCCTCAGCACTACAAGGAAGGGGTCTGGCTTGCAAGCTCTCCAAGTGTTTGTATTTGCTGCTTAAAAGTCATAGTCTCAGTTGTTTGGTGTCAGTTCTGTTCAGGGTGGGCTCTACATGGGTATCTGTAGTGTGGGCTTGTGTATGAAATGTTACAGGAATGAGACACTAGTGTTTCTGTGGGGAGGTGTTTCTTTTTATTGTTCCTTTTCTGCTCTGATCTCTCAGGGCATGTACTGATTTTTGTCTGTTGGTAGTGTCTAGGGTGTAGGGTTAACTAAGCGCTCTTTCTCCCCCCCCCCAAATTAAATGTAATTTTTAAAATCTGTGTGTTCTCAGATTACACAGAATGACATCAATTGAAAGGGAAGAAAAGGAGAAAGTTAAAAAAAAGGAGAAAAAGCAAGAGGAGGAGGAGACAATGCAGCAGGCCACGTGGGTAAAATACACGTTTCCAGTGAAACATCAGGTAACTGGCGCTCTGGCCCTCCCACCGTGCGCAGCATTTCTGAGAGTTTTATTGTAGAGTTTCAAATGCCGTCATTTTACTTTACTTTGTCACAATCTTGAATTAATGAGGTGGTGTGAACACATCTTATTATTTTGTAAGTGTGTAATTCTCTTATGATTTGAGACTAATTTGCTAAAACTAGTAATGAAAATAAAAACATTGTTAAATTTAATAGGAGAGTTATGGTCTTTGATAAATCTTCAGATTCCCACTGAAAATGGATTATTTGGTGACTGTAGTTAATTTGCCTGATTCTTTTATTATCATATTTTGTCTGTGTGAGTGTGAAAGCATATGCACATACAGTGGCTGCAGCATAATTGGCAGGAGTTGGTTCTCGTCTGCACTGTGGGTCCTGGGACGGAGCTCAGGGCATCAGTCAGGGTGTGCCTGCGCGCCGCGCCCTTCCCCACTGCTGTCTCTCTGGCCCAGTTTGCCTGTTTCTTAGCCTGTGTTTAGCAGATACTTCTAATACTAAGTGTGCTTATCCAACCATTGTGCTTTCTTTCCTACCAGGTTTGGAAACAAAAAGGAGAGGAATACAGGGTGACAGGGTACGGCGGCTGGAGCTGGGTCAGCAAAACACATGTTTATAGGTTTCTTCCCAAATTACCCGGCAATACTAATGTGAACTACAGGAAGCCATTTGATGGAGGTGAGTGAGTAATGGACTGCTGAGGAGATACGGCTAATGTGAAGTCTTTAGTGTTTCCAGGGCTGATGGCTTGCTCGTTTATAGGGCCACTTCCAATTGGTGTTATTGCTTAGGAGTTCATAGTCTATTGACCTTGTTCCAGATAAATGTATCCTTATGAATTTTTAAATAGCATGTGATTTACTCATTTATAAGTTCTAAAGTTTCTCTTATTTCAGATTATTTACATTTTATGTTTATGAGGGTTTGTCTTTATGTGTCTGTGTACAACACATGTTCATGCCTTGTGCACACAGAAGCCAGAATGAGGACACTCTGTCCCCTGGACCCTGGGGTTAGAGGTGGCTGTGAGTCACCAGCTGGTGCTGGGAACTGAAGCCAGGCCCTGTGCAGAAACTACTAGTGCTGTTAGCCAGCGGAGCCAGTTCTCCAGCCCCATAAATTCTAAAGACTTTTAAATTACCTTTATTTAGAAGGCTTTGATATGTAGGATTTTAGTTAAAAAAAATGAGAGAAAATTATTTTTGTAAGTACTGAATGAAACATGTAATTACTATTTTCAGAATCTGGATTTTTTTTTTTTGGTTCCACCTACCCCAAGACCTCATATTCAGTACTAGTTTACATTTTCAGTACTATGCACATATTAACCTAGAAGGGAAGTGACAGGTGCCAGCATCTGAGTCACAGTGCTCAAAAACATCTCCCTTTTGTTTGTGTTGTATGTGTCGAGGTCAGAGGTCAGTCTTGACTGCCACTCCTCAGGATTTAACACCCAACTTAAATGTAAGAATGTGTATGGTACTTCATTTGGTTTGATTTGTAATTAGAAATAATGAAATATACTCATTGGACAGTACTTGGTGGTTTTCTCTAAACTAGATCTGTTGAGATTTTAGGTCAGGAGGCTGTTAAGAGGCTTGTAGAGAGCCTGTAACTGCAGGCTTTGATTTCCTCTTACCTCTTGAGGCATCAGCACACACATATGCATAAAGACACACACAAATAAGAATAAAAATAAACTGGGTGGTGGTGGCTCACATCTTTAATCCCAGCACTTGGGAAGCAGAGGCAGGTGGACCTCTGTGAGTTCGAGGTCCATCTGGCCTTCAGAGTGAGTTCCAGAACAGCCAGAGAGAGCTACACGCCTGCCTCAAGAAACAAAAGTAAAGATTCTTTTAAAAAGTTCTAATATTAAGTCTGTCTGTGTCCATACATGTGATTGTTTTTAGCTAAAAATACTACAGATGAAAATAAGGATGAATCAGATAAAAGAAAAAGTCCACGAAGTCCAAAAAAAATCAAGACAGAGTGTGATTCGGAGAAAGGGGAAGCAAAAGGTGCAGACGCTGCCGCAGGAGCAGAGGAGAGCGCCATGGAGCTGTCCAAGGTGGCTGAGAAGAAGGGGCAAGGTGAGCAGGCCCAGAGTTGCGGCACTAGTGCCCTGGGTCAGGTTCCACCGAGGCACCACACCCTCTCATAAGAGTGATCCACCCCACCAAGCTCTGTATGTCCACAGACGTGTTCAGCATTTATGACCATCAGACGTTTTCATTGTGGCTAAGGAAGTTGATTTCTGATCCCAAGCCTATTCTTGGTGCATTTGTCTGTTTTAGACATTACAATTTAAGTGAAATTAGGCAGTCCGTTGTTCTAATTTAATCCACCACTGTGTTTTCAAGGTTCATCCACATTGCAGCATATTCCAAAGAATAGGCCACAACCCTGTGCAGTCATTGATCAGTGAGTAATTGGGCTGTGATGAACATTAACACTTTAAGTTTTGGGATTTGTTTCTCAGTTTTTTGAAAAAAAAGAGAGTCTCTGTGCCACTCTGATTGGCCTGGAACTCAACTGTGTAGACCAGGCTGTCCTGGAGCATACAGAGACCCACCTGCCTCTGCCTCTGCCTCTGCCTCTGCCTCTGCCTCTGCCTCTGCCTCCTGAGTGCTGGGACTAAAGGTGCCACCACAACCAGCTAATGTTTGCTTTGTTTATCTTTAAACGTTATTTATTTGTTTTGTGGGTTCCAGGGATCAAACTCAGGACCTCACACACACACACACACACATTTGGCAGCAAAGCCTTTATCCAGTGACCATCTCACCAGCTCTGTGAACAAGTATTTCTTATATTTATGGTTTTGAGCCTAGCCTTTAACATCTGAGCTATCCCTCCAGCCTGAACAAGTATTTCTGTAGACACAAATTCTCACTTCTTAGTGGTATACCAAGGAGTGGAATTGCTAGTATCTATAGGGACACTATATTTAAACTTTTGAGAAACTTTATGGCCACTGAGATATATAAATAAAAACATTACACTTTTTCTTAAACACAAACTTTGGAGATATCACATTGGATAATATTCTTTGTGCTGAAGCATGAGGACTGGCAGTTTGTATTCCCAGAGTCCATATATGTGTGAGTTGGCATTGAGGGCCTGCTTGAAATTCTAGCACTTGACGCCAGGGCCTTGGTAGCTAGAGAGCTGTATTGGTGAGCTCTGGGTTTGAAGAATAATGTGGAGACATATTGAAAAAGAATTCAGAGGTTGCTCTCTCTCTCTCTCTCTCTCTCTCTCTCCCCTCTCTCTCTCTCTCTCTCACATACACAGGAACCTAACAAACATACATGTATGAAATAAAAACATAGGCTATAATTTTACACCTATAATCCTAGCACGGGGAGACTGAGGCAGAAGATTGCCTTGTGTACGAGCTACAGAGTGAGACTGTCCAGAAAAACAAAAGCACAGCTCGACTGTTAACTGACTCCATGACACATTCCATGGATCACATGTTATTTTTCCACACATCCAGAAAATCTGACTTTTCTACTAAAATCAAACACTAATTTTTTTTTTACCCCCAGACAAGGTTTCTCTGTGGCTTTGGAGGCTGTCCTGCCACTCACCCTGTAGACCAGATTGGCCTTGAATTCACAAAGATCCGCCTGGCTTCCAAGTGCTGGGATTAAAGATGTGCACCACCACCGCCAGCATCAAACACTAATTTTGAAATGTTTATAAATAATAACTGGAAGGAAATTCTTAACAAATGAAAGAACAAAAATAAGTGATCTGTACTTCTAGCACCCAGTCTAATGAGTTATTGCAAACTCAAGCCTAATATGCACAGTAATGTCCATGACCTACCTATACATGTGAAAATAACAGTAATAGATACTTGTAAAAAAAAATGAGAATTTCTCATGAGTAAAATTGCTTCAGAATAAAACTGATGTTTTATCAATGTCTTTAATTCACAGATATGAAAGAAGTTTCAGATTCTGATCATGACAAATCCTTCAAGGAAGAACCGATGGAGGTAGATGATCACGTGAGAACAGAGTCACACATAAACTGTCAGGAGAACACTCAAGTGGATGTGGTCAATGTCAGTGAGGGCTTCCATCTAAGGACTAGTTACAAAAAGAAAACGAAGTCCTCCAAGCTGGATGGGCTCCTGGAAAGGCGGATTCGACAGTTCACACTGGAAGAGAAGCAGCGCCTTGAAAAACTGAAGCTTGAGAGCGGGGTGAAGGGAGTAGGCAAGCCCCCCACAGGCGCTCTTAAAAGCCCCTCTGAATCAGCAGTAACAGCAAAGGCCAGCGAAGGCTGTCAGGGTGACTTGCTGAGACAGGAACAAAGCCCTAGCCCAAGCCAGGCTACCCCTGGTGACTCTGGACAGGGGTGCTCACAAAGTGATTCCTCAGTTCTTGGCCTCAGTGAACCTTGTCTGAGTACAAGCAGACTCTGTCCAAAAGATGAAGTGTCAGATGGTGTCTCTGTTCAGGGTTCAAGGCCAAACTCTCAGAGACAGAATGCTGTTGAAAGTGACCTGAATGCCAGTATCCCAGAGCCTGCCAGTAAGGGACTAGAACTAAGTCAGACTAAAACAAAAGGAAGTGACTTTTTCATTGATGACTCTAAACCAACCAATGCAGATGACGTTGGCACTTTGACCTCTAAGAGCAAAAAGCCACTCTCACTGGAAGATAGCAGCACCAAGAGTACATTACCTGTGTCAGTACCTAAAAGTACCAGTGACAGAGATGCCCGGTCCTTCCCAAAAGCCATGGACTTTGATGGGAAACCAGGTTGTGACTCTGAATATAATAGCACTTTGGAAAATAGTTCTGATATTCAGGATAGCAGTGAAGAAGATATGATTGTTCAGAATAGCAATGAATGTACCTCTGAGGAGTTCGTAACTCCAGACCAAGGCATGGGGAGTGTGGAGCCTTCAAAATGTGAGTTAGTTCCTAAATCCACTGAAAATTGTGAAGATAAACTACAGGGTAAGGTAACTGAAGCAAATGGTAAAAGAACAGGTCAGCACCAAAAGCCTGATGAGAGACCAGTTAACAAATGCACTGACCAAATTAGCCTAAAACATGCCACCGACAAAAGGAATAATGAAAATCGAGAGTCTGAAAAGAAAGGACAGAAGGCAAATAAATTACAAATAAATGGCAAAGATAGCAAAGCTAAGGGGTACCTCAAGGGGCAGTGCATGAAGGACGGCTCTGAAGGTAAAGTTGTGAGTGGTACTGTTGAACCAAAGGTCAATAATATCAATAAAGTCATCTCTGGAAATGTCAAGTCTCTTACTGTTAAAGAATCTGCTGTGAAGCCGTTCGTTAACGGTGACATTATCATGGAAGATTTCAATGAGCAAAACTGTTCAGAAACCAACTTGCATTCACTGAGCTCTTCAGATGCCAAAGGTAATCACCAAGACAGCCTCCATACCCTACCGTCCACCAAAGAGTCAGACAGTACCCAGGTAATCATACCCCCAGCCCCTTGTCCAGAAAGTAATTCATTTAATCAGGTGGAAGATATGGAAACGGAGAGTCCAGAGGTTAAGAAGGTTACGCCATCTCCTGTTACTTGTGGAGAGGTGTCTAACCTTAATAATGACTTCCTGGATGAAAATGGTCTGCCCTCCAGCAAAGACGAGAATGTCAATGGAGAGTCCAAAAGGAAAACAATCATCACAGAAGTTACCACGATGACATCCACAGTTGCCACAGAATCAAAAACTGTCATTAAGGTAGCAAAAGGCGACAAGCAAACTGTGGTTTCTTCCACAGAAAATTGTGCCAGATCCACTGTCACAACTACCACTACCACGGTGACAAAGCTCTCCACACCCTGCCCAGAAAGCGGTATGGACACCATCTCTGTAAAGGAGCAGAGCAAAACCGTGGTCACAACGACAGTGACGGACTCCCTAACCACTGCAGGAAGCACGCTGGTGACATCTATGACAGTGAGCAAAGAATACTCCACAAGAGACAAGGTGAAACTGATGAAGTTCTCAAGACCCAAGAAGACCCGCTCAGGGACAGCCCTGCCATCCTATAGGAAGTTTGTTACCAAGAGCAGCAAAAAGAGCATTTTTGTGCTGCCTAATGATGACTTGAAAAAGCTGGCCAGAAAAGGAGGGATCCGGGAAGTCCCTTACTTTAATTATAATGCAAAGCCTGCCTTGGACATATGGCCATACCCTTCTCCTAGGCCAACCTTTGGTATCACGTGGAGGTATGTACTTTATGTGTTATTGGGGTGAGGAGAGGCTGGAGTTTTTTAAAATTCCATTTCTAAGTAAAATGAGCTCCCAGAGTGGAGGAAGCTAATGTGTAATGGCCAGGATCAGTGATGGGAATGGGATGGAAATCTTCTCGCTCTGCCAGTGGGTGGTAACTGATGTTTACCTAGCAGCCATGGACTTACCAAAAATGTAAGGGATTCTTTTAACATGCATGTCCATTTTAACTCCCATGAGACAAGAGGCAAATGCCAAGCTTGTTTTCATGGTCTAACTTTTCAAGTTATTGCATGATGTTTGCTCTGCCCCATGACAACCACAGAATTGGATGATCACTTTCTGGGATTCATAAAAACATGCCTGTAAATTCATAAAGCCCGTCACGTCAGACCTTCCTAGTGAAATTTATTTGCATGATAAATGTATTGTGGGTTTCTCTGTTATTTATGTAAGAAAAGAGAGACTATAATTTCCTTAGGAAATGTCGTAAAAATGCAGAAATAGTCTTGTTTAAGCATGTTCTGGGCCCTCTGTGTTTGGGGAACAAATTGTAATTTATAGTATTGACAGTTGCTAATCTATGTTCGTCTTTCACTGGGAAGGTGTCTTAGAAGTTTTCCTATGGACATAGAGTAATTTGCCTATGACCACAGGCCAGGTTAAGCACAGTACCCAGTTTTCCTGACCCAGCCAGCACTTCATGTGCTGTTTGCCTTTCACATGCTTGTCCATGTTCTGTCCCTTTTCATGTCTCTGTCTCTATCTTTCTGCCCTTGTTGAGGGGGATGAGCATTAAGAACATGACACTTGGAAAGCAGCGTGCTCAAGGCTACAGTTGGTTCACATGATTGTTCCGGCAGGTTACCAAGCAGGGCATCGTCTCTCTTAAGACTTGTTTCAGTATGTCTTAAGTATTTTCAGATGCAGTTACCATCATCCATCTTTATGCCCTTTATATTGTAGTCAGCTAGCTAGTGTCAAAAAAGACCACAAAAGTGGTGTAAATGCAAATTCTCCCGAAAGGAATTCATTCACTCTGGTGACCACTCATCGTTTCTATGAGCACGTTTTTTTATACCTCATCATTGATTTGAAGTAAGATGTCATCACTCCATGGCACATGCACTAGAGACAGCTGAAAAGTACACTTTCTCTGCAGGGCCTGCAATGAAGGATTTGCAGAATCCTGCAGGGAATCAAGGAACTCTTCATTGCAGTTCATGGAGTTGTAGGATTGCTCTGCACTTTTCTGCTTTCTTCATTGAGAGCGGTCCCAAAGTGCATCCTTGACTGCCCTGCAGGTAACTTCTTTCCCACTGGAAAAGTTACTATATACATACCAGTAGTTGAACTAAGATGCCCCGGCAGGCAGGGAGCTAGCATTTCTGCTCCTTGTGTTCTAAAACAAAAGGTAGTTTCGCTGGGAAGCGCTGTCCTCTGAGCCTGAAAAGTAGCAGGCGCCAGAGCCCAAGTGTTCATGGCACAGGCGCCTTGACTTACATACAATGCTTTGATATGTGCTGGCATGCAACATACCTGTTTGGTCAGTCTCTTATTTTTTAATGGAAAGAAATACTTTACTGTACATTCTTAATTTGTTGAAGTTGAAATTTATAACTATCAATTCTGACTAATGGAAGAATGGGTAAAATTATGTGTTATTTTGATTTTAGAATACTTTTTTAAAACTGCTACAAAAACTATTCATGTAAAGTGCATTTTTATACTAACCCTTGAGTCTCATGTGTTTGCTGCTTAGTAGAAGAATTCTGAGTGATGGTGTGATTCTCATTTACTTGTTTGTTTGTTTATTTGTTTATTTATTTATTTGTTCAGGGGTGGTTCTTATGGGTCTAGCTATGCAGCCCAGGCTGGTCTCAAACTCCTGCCCTCCCACCTCAGCCTCATAGGTAGTTAAGACCACATGTAGGCCCAGCTGCATGTGTGGTACATATTTTTTAATGTAATATTAAAGCTGAGCACTATAAAAAAAATCTACATTTGTCTCATGGGTGCAGTAAAACCTTTTTTGACCTCTGTACATACATTTCCTTACATCTGTTTTCTCTGGCAAGACTCTGTGTTACTGTCATTTTGTTCTCCATAATGCTGCTAGAGGTCCTGCTAAAATGGCTCTATGCTGGGCCTATTATGAGTGGTTGGTGCACAGCTCCAGTACTGAGGGGAGGGAGGGAAGCATGCATCACCTGAGGATCATTAGGAGAGCCTGGGATCTAGTTTATGTGCTTTTCTTTAAGCCTTCTTTCTGGCACAGCTCGTTCTGACTTCTGCTTTCTTCTCCATGCAAGCTACTTCGTCATTTACACCCAGCCCTTCTCTCTGGCCATAACTACACAGGGTGTATCATCTGAGAAGTGTGTGCTTTTTACAACTTTGTCCCTTCGTGTGTGTGCCCCTTGCCTTCAGTCAGCCAACCATACACACTCATCCGATGAACATGTACTTTGAGACTATGGCAGACCTATGTACTTGCTTCTCTTACAGCTTACTGTAGATTCTAACAGACTTCTTTGTATCCCAACTTCCTTCACAGTCTTGACCCGTTGGCAGGATTCCATTGTTTGAGTGAGAGTGAGTGAGCGAGCTAGCAGACTGAGATCATCTGTGGGATGTGTTCATCCACTGATGTTATCTACATTTTAAAATGGGGTTGCTTTTGGGGACCAGGGATATTGATCATGGTAGAATGCTTGCCTGCTATGTACAAGACCATGGGTTCTGTCCTCTGTGCAGTAGAGGTAAGACAGTTATTGTGTGTGAGCCAAGACAGGCAGAGTGAGGATCAGAGTTATTGTTGCACCCTAGAGAACAAACAGGAAAGAGAGAATAAAAATCCTCCTGGCCCACCAAACTGGCACAAGGCTTTTCCATGGGGCATGGCCCGAAGTGACAGACACTTTGTTCCTCCCAGGATACCCCACACTAGTCAGCATCTTAAAGGCTCTGTTGAGGGTCGAGGGTTCCTGGGCTGTCACGGATGGAGGTGCAACAGCCATTCAACTAGAGCTTTCCTTTCCACATTGTTCATTTCTCCCGTGTCAGTAACAGTTAAGAAGTACCGCCTTTTGAGTATGGGAATTGTCCTGAGAGTCACCATTTGCCTGTTAGTGGAGGAAATTATTTTCATCATGCAGGTTTCGTCTATACTGCATTCAGCCAGTATATTTACTTCATTCATGTAGTATGAAAATGTCCAAAGGAGACTGTAATTATTCAGATCCTAAAAAGGAATTAACAGTCATTGGCTGCCTTAATATATGTTACAGTGAATTCCATTTTAGAATAAAATATTCATTGAAATTGAGTAAACTCATGTTCAGATGTGTTCTCAGCGTTACTTATAAAAACAAAAATAGATCTAGTAACTTTCCACTCATGCTTATAGAAAAACAAGAAGCCAGATTCCCTTCCCTTCTTCAGAGTAACTGATGCGGGACTGTGCCTTTATTATGGAAATGGCTTTCTTCATGGGATTGGATTCTAAACTTATCCCGTGCCCTTAGTATTCAAGAGCCACCATGGACTACAAAATTCCTTTTGGTTCCACAGGTCTTCTTGCATTGACAGAGTGTTTTAGTTTTGCTTTTACTCTTTGATAAAATATAAACATTTTCAGAATTTTTTTTTTGTTTTAGCAATAACTATTTCATCCTGATTTTATCTTCCAGACCCCTCTATCATATTTAGTAACATGGTTATTGATTTTGTTTATTCTCTGTAGTTTTTCATGCAGATATTTTAGTAAGTTAATATAACAATCTTTATAAATTGTTGTCTTACTGATCTTAAGAGAGAGGGGGAAAAAAAACCTTACCTACTTATATGACATTGGAAATGAACTTAAAGCTGTTATCTTAAAGAATGTGTAATGCCAGTCTTACAGAGTCTTGTTAGAAATACTGAGGTACAGTGAGCGCCAGAAACGTCCTTCAGTTTCATAGAGAGGAAGAGAGTATGAGTGGGTGTGTGTTTGTATGTTTATATGTAGTTGATCTGGGTTGTTCTTTCAGGTATAGACTTCAGACGGTAAAATCCTTAGCAGGAGTGAGCCTGATGTTACGGTTACTGTGGGCCAGTTTGAGATGGGATGACATGGCAGCCAAGGCTCCTCCAGGAGGAGGGACTACACGGACAGGTAAGGGAGTTGGGACTTTTAAGTTTAAAAGATGTAAGGCTAAGGATATAGCTTGGTTGCTAGAGTGCATATCTCCTGCACTAACATGTGGACCCGTGTTAGGTTCCTCGCACTGCATAACCTCTTTGTGGTGGTGCATGCTTGTTACCTTACCAGTGAGAAGCTGGAAGAGAGAGGATCAAAAGTTGACTATAATCCTTGCCTGTGAGTTCAAGGCCATCTTCTGTTACACTGTTCCATGTAGCAAAAAAAAGTTGCCAGACCTGGCAGCATAGGCTCAAAATGCCAGCTCCTTAGGAGATTGAGGCACGATGATCTAATCCGTGACCTGCTCGGACTACTTAGCTCAAGGCCAGCTAGAGCAACTGCCTCAAACAAAACAAACCGAGAAACTAAAAATGGGTCTGTGGCTGTAGCACTCGGCCTAGCATGCACAATGCTCTGGACTTGACTCCTAGCACTGGACAAAAATTGAATCATGTGCCATTCACTAATTTTATTAAATACTTGTCTTATTTTGTAGAATTTAACCTTGCTCAAGTTTTCCTGAGTGCCGTAAAGTCAGTGTTAGGAGCAAGGGTCACATTCTAGGTGAATCTGTACACACAGACCTGTCTAAATATTTGAGTGAGAGTAGTTATTCTAGTGTGTAAGTCACTGGACCCTCAGGCACCACTTTGACAGGTGCCACCTCTGGGAGTGAACTTAGACCTTGTGTCATTTTTTTTTCCTGCTATTCATGCTGAGGTGGGACAATTGCCACAAGTCTGATGCCAGCCTGGGCTTACATCTCAAGTTCTAGACCAGCTTGGGCTATAGAGGAAACTGTGTATTCTCTCAGAAGGAGCATAGTGAGTGCAGCGTAGTGAGAGCCCTGCTGCAAAAACAGCAGCACGCATTCTCTCCTGCGGGGAGCGTCAGCTGAGAGCAAGCAGTGATTGATGCTGGCTCATCTTTAAAGAAGTACCAAGTGCTACATGTTCTAAGTGTTTCAGAGGGTTGTTAACAGTGTGTAAATCATGTTCCCATAGAAACATCTGAGACTGAAATCACAACCACAGAGATAATTAAGAGGCGTGACGTGGGTCCTTACGGCATTCGTTCTGAGTACTGTATCAGGAAGATCATTTGCCCCATTGGAGTTCCAGAAGCACCAAAGGGTAAGAAATAGGAAAAAAGAGAAATATCATCACTGCCTGGTGGCTGTATGTTCTGTTAGTTGAGATTTTCTAGTAGTTGTCCCTTTCACTGCTTACCTTACATCACAAGCTACTCCTGTATTAAGAAGCATAAAAACGAATTGTCAAGACAGGAGAGTGTTGTGAGTCCAGGCTACCCTGGCCTACAGAGTGAGACCTGTTTCACAAAACAAACTGGGAGCTGGGAAGATGACTCAGCAATTAAGAGTGCTTACCACTCCAAGGCCTTTGTCTGAATTCCATGGACTCCTGCATGTATGTACATATAAACTCATGCAGGCTAACATACATGCACATAACTAAGACTAAATCCTTTTGTTTGTTTGTTTGCTTATTTGTTTAAATCCTTAGTGTTAAAACTAATGTACCAGCACTCAGGAGGCAGAGGCAGGTGATCTCTGTGAGTTCAAGGACTACCAGGGCTACACAGAGAAACACTCTCTGGGGGGGGGGGATAAAATGTGTGAAATGTTTCACAAAGAAACACTTTTTGAAAATTTTTCTTAGCCAGGAGTTGGTGGCACACGCCTTAGTCCCAGCACTCCGGAGGCAGAGGCAGGCGGATCTCTGTGAGTTCCAGGACAGACTCCGAAGCAATACAGAGAAACCCTGTCTTGAAAAACAAAAATAAAATTATTCTTCCTAAATGTACACCTTTACTGATATTAACTGACACTGCAGATGGGATAACTCCCATTTAAAAAATGCTGGTAAGGTGGCTCCTGTCATAGGAGATCATGGCATACTGTCACAGTGACAGCTGTTAATGCAGGTACCAGAGTGACCAGCTCAGATGGCCTGCACAGGGCAGGTCCTTCACTGCCATGCCTTGCCAGGGGCCAGCTCCAGCAGGTTGTAGGAACAACAAAACACACGCGAGACTTAGCTGAGGGGCAATACTTAATCATTCTTCTCTTTATTTTTCTCTTTCTTCTGCTTCTTTATGTTTCTGTTATCCTTTTTGTACCACCTAAAACAAGAATTTCTGCACAAGAAGGAAATCCCCTCACAGCCATAAAGTTACATATTTTCCAAAAACAAATTACTTTACACAGGAAGAAATTACATTATGATTACAAGTTACATGTTTTTCTTAGAAGCCCACAAGTAGTAAATATTTTCCTTTGTATTAATTTTCCCACCATAACATCTCCACCCCAAAGCAAAGATTCTTTTAACACTGATTAACAAGGTTTTAAACAAGCCAAGTCTATTTCAGCCACTTCTTTTGTGCCGCCCAGCAGAACTGTTTACGACCTCAGTGTAGCTGATTTCTGTCTACTCTACACAGCCTTACTCAGGTTGTCAGCTAACCATCTATTTTTCTTCACACACAATGTCATTTTTTTAATTTCCTTTCACAAATTTGGTTTGGTTTGTTTTTTGTTTTGTTTTGTTTTGTTTTTTGTTTTTTTTTTTTTTTTTTTTTTTTTTTTCCTGTGTTCCTGGCTCTCTTGAAACTCACTCTGAAGACCAGGCTGGCCTCAAACTCACAGAGATCCACCTGCCTCTGCCTCCCAAGTGCTAAGAATAAAGGTGTGCGCCACCAACAACTGACTCTACTTTTTTTTCCAAGGTGCACACCAAAACCTGTGATTAATTCTGTAAGCTACAGAATTAGCTTACCAAGGAACTCAGACCTAACCTTGTCTGTAGGAACTACCTTCTTTAATCGTCGGCCTGTGGAATTCTCTGACTCACATCTCTTAGCATCATTACTCTATAAAAACCATCTTGATTATGGTCTTCATGTACATTGCCTAGTGTGGAGGGCGGTTTTCCGGTGAAACAACCACACTATGCCAGACACAGTGGGATGCTTCCTCATAGTGATCACACCATGCCAGACACAGTAGGAACTCGATAGCCGCAAGCAGGAGAAGGCACAGCGGAAGCTAGGGGCATTCTCCACGCAGTTCCCCTGGGGCTTTGACTCTCTGGGGCACACCCATTATAGGCAAGCTGTCGGGTGAGCTGTGCTCCCTAAACCACATTGCGACTGCAGTCCCTCCTGCGTGGCCGATGCCACTCTCTCATATTGCTCTATGTAGTCGGGTTCTCCTGCCCCTCTGCTCCCTGGCATCTGACTGCTGTGCTGGGCCCTGGACAAGGCTCAGCTCTCATCTCTCTTTACTGTACAGTGTCTTAAATCTTTATAATTATTATTTAAATTTGAACAAGGTTATTATACATGTCAATCCCAGTTCCCTCACCCTCCCATCCTCCCCCAGTGTTTTAAATCTTACTGGGAGATTTGTATATGTTCTTCAGCCTTTTAGATCCCTTTTTTTTTTTTTTTTTTTTTTTTTTTTTTTTTTTTTTGGTTTGTTTGTTTGTTTGATTGGTTGGTTGGATTTTTGTTTTGTTTTTGTTTTTTGTTGTTGTTGTTGTTTGTTTTTGTTTTTTTGAGACGGGTTTTTCTGTATAGCTTTGCAGACCAGGCTGGCCTCGAACTCACAGAGGTCTGCCTGCCTCTGCCTCCCAAGCGCTAGGATTAAAGGTGTGCACCACTCCCCAACCCACAACTGGATCCCTTTTTTATACTGGGTAAATGTATCCTATCTCCTCAGTGCTGTGGAGGGGAGTGGGTCTTAGCAGCCCAGCTGTGATGGGCTCTAGGGTTGCTCTAGTCCTCAGACAGGGAGCGGTTGAGGGTGACTGACACATTGTGCGATGGCACAGACTGACACTCAGGGGTCTGAAGGAGAAAAATTGATGGCATGGGTTCCATGCTAAGCTCTAGGTCCTGCCGCCGCTTACGTAAAGGGCAGTGGCGGTAAGGAAGGGAGGGAGCAGTATGGTCAAGGAAGCCCTTTTGCTCGTGGTTATTGGCCTTGCTTCCTACTGCACCAATCAAAAAGAGCCATCCTCCTGCACCACAGCTGCTCTGTGTACTTGTTGGGGTGTCCTCTTCACCAGGACTCCCCTTCCTCTTTTTTATTGTTGGGTTCTCACCAGGCCAAGGAGAAGTAGTCCAGGTGATCCTTGGAGTGGGCAATGCCAGGGATTTGGCATTCTCTCTCTCCTCCCTTCCCCAGAGTCACAGCCCTCAGCTTTCCTCCTAGAAATGCTAAATCTTTAAAGAACTTGTATTGGTTCTGGAGTCTCAACACTGAATTGCTCTTAGTCACATGTGGAGGAGGGATAGAGTCCTAGGCAGAGAGGACAGGTGTAAAGGCCCACAAGTGCTTTATCAGAGTTGGTAGCCATATCCTGTGAGCCTTGATGACTGCCCACTTTACAAATGGGGTTTAATTGGAAGACAGCAGCATTTAACTCTGACATTGTTACTTGTTTTTCGACTGATTATTTTGTAAAATGATGTGCATTGGTGTTTTGCATGTATGTATTTCTCTATGAAGAAGACTTCAGTTCCCCTAGAACTGGAGTTTACATATGGTTGTGAACTGTTGTTGTATGGATCCTAGGAATTGAACCTGGGTCCTCTGGTAGAGCAGCCAATGCTCTTAACCACTGAGCCATCTCTCTAGCCCCCAGACACTGTTTTTTTGTTTGTTTTAATTATTTCTGTGTGTGGTGTTTTGCGTATAGGTATGCGTATACGCAGGTGTGTGCCGGGTGTCTTGGAGGTGTAAAAAAGTCATTGGATCCCCTTATTCTGGGGTTAAGCACAGTTGTGAACTGCCATGTTGATATTGGGGATTGATCACGTGTCCTTTGGAAGAGCAGCCAGTGGTTTTAATCCCCTGAGCCATCTCCTATGCCGTAGGCACTGGGGTCCAGAATTGCAGTGTAGACCACCTGACCTATATGGTCTCAGGGGTTTGTAGTATCTGGCCCTTTAAAAGGAAAAGGTTGGCTGGTGGTGGCATGTTGGGCTATGTGGCAGACCCTGTCTCAAATTAAAAATGTAGTTTGCCACCCACTATGCTTCATGAGATAAGATGTCAGAAGAACTCCATCCAGATGACATTGCTGAAAACCCTCTGATTTCTTTCATCAAGAAACACCCACACCTCAGCGGAAAGGCCTTCGGTCAAGTGCACTGCGGCCAAAGAGACCCGACACGCCCAAGCAGACCGGCCCTGTTATTATTGAAACCTGGGTGGCAGAAGAGGAGTTGGAGCTCTGGGAGATCAGGGCTTTTGCTGAGAGGTAATCGGCTAGCACCTGCTCATACTAAGGGTTTTAGCCCTCAGAGGTCGGGAGTTGTCACATTAATACTTGCTCTAGTCCATTTGGGTAGTTTCTTTAAGTCCTGTTTCTAAATTTTAGTGTGCTAGTATTATACATTTGCTATTTTTAAAATGTCTCAAATATTCACTTAAAACAGAAATACTCCATTCTTCTCTATGATGCCAGAGTCACCCAGATTTCATTTATGACACGGTCTCTGATCAGTTGCTCCTTTTCCCCCTGCAGAGTGGAGAAAGAGAAGGCTCAAGCGGTGGAGCAGCAGGCAAAGGTCAGTGGACGGAAGGCTGGGTCACTGCCAAGAGGCCCTCGCCAGCCAGCACATGGCAGACTGACCTTTTTAGCCAAATTCAGGCACATGAAAAGCCCAGGGGCTCTATATTCACATGGGACATTTAACGTGTACCTCGTGTTTCATTTCTCGGAAATAACTGTGATACACTAATCTGTGGGTCTGCCGATGGAGCACAAGACTGCAGGGTGTCAGGTTCTCCTCTGAGTATTGTTACTCTTCTTTGAGTAGTTTCTAGAAAGAATTTTTTTCTCACTGAACTCTAATGAAATCTATGAAGAAGTAAACTTCACTAAGGCTCTGAGTTCATTGTAATTGGCGCTCACTAAGTCGTCGCTTAATTTTTGGCATCCAGTACGGTGATCAGTATACTGTATCTGAGAATCCGAGGAAGAAACTTAGAGGATAGAAGTAGAAGAATGTGTTTTCTTACAGTACTGTTGACATAGCTACAGTTATGTTCATTTTACAAGTAGGAGTGTTTTTGCCTGCATGTGTGTCTGAGCACTGCACGCCTGTCTTCTGGTGTTCGGAAGAGGGCTTCAGCCCCCTGGAGCTGGAGTACAGATGACTATGAGACACTATACGGGGGCTGGGAACAAACCTTGGTCCCTGTAACAGCGCCAGTGCTCATAAATCTGGAGTATCTCTTCAGCCCCAGCTGCACATTTTTAAAAACACGTTTTGGGTTTCACGCTATTCTTTTTTCATATTTTATAAAGCGTGTATTTCAAATTTCAAATTACTATGTGTCTTTCTCCTGACTTAAATTTTGAGAAAATAGCACTTTTGGGTAATGTGCTCAATTCTGTCATGGAAACTTATAGAAAGTCACAAGCGTCTGTTGTTACTATAACAACTGCCTAGTTCTTCTCTTTGCTTTTTTTTGTTTGTTTGTTTGTTTGTTTGTTTTGTTTATTGAGACAGGGTTTCTCTGTGTAGCCTTGGCTGTCCTGAGACTAGGCTAACCTCAGATTCAGAGTTTCACCTACATCTACTTCTTGAGTGCAGACATAGCTTTGTAATTAACATAGCGACTGTGTGTTTACTTGGGGTTGAGGCGGCTGCGGAACCAGGCTGGCGGGATAGAACTTTCATCAACATAGCACTTCAAGTTTTTAATGCATTTTTCTCCCAGTGAAATACTCTTAATTACTTAATTTTGTTTTTGCTGTTTTCCTTCTGGCCAGTGCGGTCAGGTGAAAAATGAGCATTGGTATGAAATACTTCAGCGTCTCTTCAAGCATGTGGTCCGTCTGCGAAAACAACTCAAATAGAATGGCTATGACTCTGATAAGTGAGGCCTGGGTTTGGGCTCAGTAGAGCTCTGAGAGTCTCACTGAACCTCAGGTTGTCCCAGATCTTAGTGTGTGTGGTTCAGGCGGCCTCAAATCACTGTGGTCCTCTTGCCTCTGTCTCGCAGGAGCTCTAGTTACAGGCAGGAAGTCCAGCTCTTGTTTGTGGTTTTGAAACAGTGTTGCTCTATATCTCAGGCATTCTCAAATTCTAGGCAACCCTCCTCCCTCACCATTTGAGTGGACCTCAGTGAGCTCCATCACAGCTCCATCATGTGTCCTTGGGCCAGTTGCACAGCCGCTCTGAGCCTCAGGGTCCCAATGCCAGCTTTTTGATTTAATGAGAAGTATTGCTGAATGAAGTACTCCACATGCAGTCCACCCTACCTGATGTTTCATTCATGGAAGCCTGTGCATTAGACCACTGCTGGTTAACTGTGCATAAACTCTGCCAGTCTTTAACATACAAGTTATCTTTTTCTTCCTCTTTTACTTTGGTTTTGTTTTGTGACAAGGTCTGTGTTGTCCTGGCTTCCCTAGAACTTTGTATGTAGAGGAGGCTGGCTTTGAACTCACAGAGAATTGCCTCTTTCAGCCTCAGTGTTGAGATTAAAGTCATGAATCACCCCGCCCAGCCTGATTTTTGAGAGTGGATTCTGCTGATCTTGAATTTGAAAATTCTCCTCAGAGTTGAGATTACAGATGTGCCTACCACACCCATTTTAGCTTCATGTTTTTAGTTTATTTTCATTTTTATTTTTGCAGTGCTGAGTAATGAACTCAGAGCATGGTGCATGCCAGGCACCGTGAGTGACCCTGATGTCTGATGATGGGAGTCTTTCCTTCTGAAGCATTTAAAGTATCTCTTAATTATATAGTACGATGTAATCCCAGCACATAGGAAACTGAAGCAGGAGGATTGCTCCAAGTTAAAAATGACACTGCACTAGATAGTTTGTTCCAGGCCAACTTGGGCTACAGAATGAGACCCTGTCTATGAATAAACAATAACAAAGTCTCAAAATTATTTATAATTCCCCTTTAACTTGATCGCAAGTTTGCCAACCAGAATAGTAATAATTAAAGCTACCATCATGCTGTTTTTGGTTGGATAAACTAAACTATTGCCGTGAACAGGCTTGCCCACCCCTTCTGCTCTGGCTCTGGGGTGCAGATGTTGTCTCCAGTACGATTTTCCCACTGGCGTTCTCACTCTGAAAGTTATATGTTACATACAACCTTTTGACCTTTAAATTTTTTGTTTATGAACAATTTATAGTACTGTAGAGACTTGGGACTTGATACTTCATGAAGACTTCAGGATAAATTCAGACAGGCATGTTTTCTCTTTGGTGGTTTACCATCGGGAAATCCTACAAAATGAGGTTTGTCGTGTAGAACTGGAGTTTACGTTTCCTTTCCTTGACTCTCAGAAACGTTTGGAGCAGCAGAAACCTGCAGCCATTGCGGCATCTACCACATCCCCAGCAAACAGCACAAGCAGCACCGTCTCACCAGCTCAGAAAGTGATGGTGGCTCCCATAAGTGGCTCAGTCACCCCTGGAACAAAGATGGTGCTGGCCACCAAAGTTGGGTCTCCTGCCACAGTCACATTCCAGCAAAACAAGAATTTCCACCAAACCTTTGCCACGTGGGTGAAGCAAGGCCAGTCCAATTCAGGTAGAGCCGGGGTGAATGAAACATTGCTTTCATTGCAGGGGAGAGGTGGGCGTTTCTAACATTCATTTCTTGAGAGTGGTGTTTTCCTTCTGCTGCTGCTTATTACGCAGGCAGACTGACAGTCGTTTGTCGTGGTTGCTTTTGTGGGGTCCTCTCTCAGCCCTCCCCTCAGTACCCACAAATGCACTTGGAGCAGAGAGGAGTGATTTTATGAGATACAAATTGAGCCACATTTCCTGCATCGGTGCCCTTCCTAGAAGTCACTGCGCTGCTGGTTATTTAAGATCTAAAGCTTATTAAATGTCTTATACCCCATTAGCCACCAGCACAGCTGCCACCTCTGCTACAGCCATTGCCAGCACAGGTCAGACGTTCCAAATTACAGGCAATCCCGTCACTATGGCAGGAAAAGTAATTACCAAACTGCCACTTCCTGCAAACAGCAAGATTGTCGCTGTAAATGTACCAGCAACACAAGGAGGTAAGGGAGCCTCACAGAGTCTGAGTTCACCTTCGCCAGATCATGCTGTCGCCATCACTCCATTTCCTCTCGCCGGTCTCAGTCGTCAGGTCTCACATTCTGTGTAGCCCGCTCTGCAACCCACCACACGTAGTTTTTCCTCAGACACCAAGCAGCACCTGATGCTTTGCCGTGAAGGGTGGTGGCTCATGTCTTCTTTATTTATCTCTCTTTAAGGCGTGGTCCAGGTACAGCAGAAAGTCCTGGGTATCATTCCATCAACGACAGGTCCGAGTCAGCAAACCTTTACTTCATTCCAGCCCAGGACTGCAACCGTCACAATTAGGCCCAATACCTCAGCCTCTGCGGGAACCACTACTACGTCACAGGTAAGTGTTTGTTCTTGGAGGCTTTCTCTGTTGAGAAATGTTGAACACATCCGGGTGGTGTTTGTGTGGCCCCTTCCTTCCAATATCACTTCAGTTCATCATCTCCCTTCACTATGATACTACTGCGTGCACCAGCTGACATACAGTATATTTCAATCTGTTCTCTTTTTTGTTTTTTAAAGATTTATTTATTTATCTATCTCGTTGCCGATTACTTATTTTATGTGCATTGGTGTTTTGCCCACATGTTCCCAATTTGTTCTTTTTTTTATATCAGAACCGATTGGGAACTGGAGAGAAGGCTCAGCAGTCAAAAACATTGGCTTCTCTTTCCAGAGGACCCAGGTTCAATTCCCATCACCCACATGGCAGCTCACAACTGTCTGTCACTCTAGTTCCAGAGGATCTGACACCCTTACACAGATAAACATGTGGGCAAAACACCGACACACATAAAATAAATAAAGCTTAAAAGGGGAGAGGCCTGGGAAGATGGCTCAGAGGTTAAAAGCACTGGCTTCTCTTCCAGAGGTCCTGAGTTCAATTCCCAGCAACCATAGGGTGGCTCACAGCCCTCGGTAATAATGAGATCTGGTGCCCTCTTCTGGCCTGCAAGGATACATGCAGGCATAACACTGTACACTTAATAAATAAATCAATCTTTAAAGAAAAAAAGGACAGATTGAAATATACTGTACGTCAGCTGGTTCACGCACTCATGAGGTACAGCATTTCTTCGCACTAGTATCATGGAAAAAGTTTTGAAGTAAGAATATTCAGGCTTGATAGGCAGTGGTGGCTCAAGTCTTTAATCCCAGCACTTGGGAGGCAGAGGCGGGTGGATCTCTGAGTTCCAGGACAGCCTGGACTGTTGCACAGAGAAACCCTGTCTCCAAAAATCAAGACAAGAAAAAAGTTCCTGCTCTAACTATAAAACTGAAATAATGTGGGCATTATTGTCATCTTTTAAACTGTAAAAGAATATTGGATTTTTTTTTTTTTTTTTTTTTTTTTTTTTTTTTTTTTAATTGCAGTCTCCAGATTCTAGGATTCAACCTCTTCCTTGAGCATTAGTGACAAGCTGAGCCTAAGTTTTCTATCTTCATAATTCCCCCTTTGGGCTGGAGAGATGGCTCAGTGGTTAAGAGCACTGGTTGGTCTTCCAGAGGTCCTGAGTTCAATTCCCAGCAACCACATGGTGACTCACAACCGTCTGTAATGAGATCTGGTGCCCTCTTCTGGCCTGCAGACATACATGCAAATAGAACACTGTATACATAATAAATAAATCTTTTTAAAAAAAGACAAAACAAAATTCCTCCTTTGTAACAACACTAAATACAATGTCAGATATAAAAGTAGAGAGGCAGAGGTGGATGTGTCTACAGAGTGAGTTCCAGGGCTACATAGCAGCAGAACCCTGTCTCAAATATGTATTTGTGTGTCAAGTCTCTGCTGTGTCTGTGGGATTTTTAATGAAATTGAGTTCTAAGTCCATTGTGTCATTTTGAAGCCATTTCAATTCTTTACTTTGTTTTGTTTTTCTTTTTCAAGACAGAGTTTCTGTGTGTAGCACTCGCTGTCCTGGATTCCGTAGATCAGGCATTCACCTGTGTCTGCCTCAGGGTGCTGGGATTGAAGTCATGCTCCCCCAGGCTTACTGCCACAGTTTTAATTCATTGTCCTTTGTTCATCCACAGGTGATCACGGGGCCTCAGATCCGTCCCGGTATGACGGTGATTAGGACACCACTGCAGCAGTCAACACTAGGAAAGGCCATCATTCGCACACCCGTGATGGTGCAGCCAGGTATTCACGCATGCAGGATTACTAGTTCTGTATTTGGACATGTCTAGGAAATTGTGACACACCGCTCTATTTGGTCCTCTTTAATTGGTACATAAGTGTACATTAAGTTTCTGATCTGTGATGGGATGTGAACGCAGATACCGTTTATTCTTTTCCCTGCCAAAAAGAGGAACGTTTTACTTAAAAAGTGAGTAAGGGAAATGTCCAGTAAATTAAAAGGTAGCGTTCAGATGGCGCAAAGAGAACAACAAAGGTTTTGTGTGTAAATTGCCCAGGCATCATCAGTCCTTGAATCATTCACAATTAATGTAAGCAGGTTAAAACTATATTAGAAGTCAAAGACTGTGAGCTAGGCCTGGCCCTTGGTGGTAGAGCTTTTGTTTTCCGTGTGAGGAAGGCCCTGCCTATGGACCATTTCACATTGGGTGGAGGGGGGCTTATAAAATTGAATGAAAATTCAAAAACAGGGCCTACAGAGATGACTCATTGGTTAAGGACACCTGGCTTGAATGTTGGATCTGATGATACTTCAAAGAGAACATGCACGTATTGGATTATCTCAATGATCCTCATGTAACTGACCACAACTAGTCTATTTTTAGATTCATTTATTTCACTTTGCATGTATGAGTGTTTTTGATTAAATGTATGCCTGTGCTCTGTGTTACTGACTGACTGGTGCCTGCCACAGCGGATGCCTGGAGATAGAGTTATGGGCAGTTGTGAGTTTGGGAACTGAACTGGGGTCCTCGACAAGAATATCAGGTTCTCTTAACCCCAGTGCTTCTGTGGTAGTTGAGCGGTACCGTATCTTAGATGGCAACTTTCCCTGAATTGTTCCCAAACTGTAGTGCATAAGGCATGGAGCTCTCACGTCACATTCAGTCTTGTGGGTCACCTTGAGTGGATGAGAATAACTCAGAAGTTTATAAGGAAGCGCAATAATGAAAAGCTTTTGTTGCCTATTATCAGATCATTTCATAAGGTGGCCAAACTTAAGAACGTAATTCCCCAGAAAGCGCCGAGTCGGATCTAACCCAAAAGCCATTACATTTGAGAATCAAGGAGATGGCTTTTGTTTTGTTTTCCAGACAGGGTTTGGATCTACGAAACTGACTCTGTAGACCAGGCTGGCCTTTGCCTCCCTGGTGCTGGGATTAAAGGCATGTGTCACATTGCCTGGCCTGGACTGTTGATCCTTAACTCTGTTGAAGCCACTAGGAATCTTTGGCTCTAGGCCTATGTTGAACTCACCTTGGGTTATTGGCAACCAAGTGTCTTTTTGCAGGTTGAAATGAACAGCATTCATCTGGAGTGTCAGACTGTTTTAATTCCCATTATGCTAAGAGCATGTCATCAGTGAAGCTCTCTTGTTGCAGGGGCTCCCCAACAAGTGGTGACTCAGATCATCCGAGGACAGCCTGTTTCCACTGCCATTTCTGCTCCAAGTACGACTTCTTCATCACCTGGGCAAAAAGCTTTAGGTGCAGGAACAGCAGCCGGGGCTCTACAGCCGTCAACGCCACAACCTCCTCGTCCCCAGCAAGGGCAAGTGAAGCTCACCATGGCTCAGCTCACTCAGTTAACGCAGGGCCATGTAAGTGACTTGCCTTTCACTTGAGAGAGTCTTATTTTTGCTCCAGTTTTTGTTTGATCTTGGGTCAGGTTTGAAGTATACATTGAAAAGTTTCTATACCCTGATAAGTCTCTCTGCCAATGCAGCACTCCAAATCAGACCAAATCACCCAAATTTTAAAAGCCAGTGTTTAATGCATACAGTGCTCCCGGATGGCCTTCCAGCCCCCCAGAGAGGAGATGGGAAAGAAAGACCAGAAAACCAGGAGTCTATTCTCTCCGGGGCAGTTTAAATACCCTGTGGGAGTGGTCTTGATCATCCCTGGAGGAGGGGCCATAATTTGGTGGGCTTTCTGAGATGCAGCAGGGTTTGGAGAGACATGGGGAGCCTGGGGGATGGGGCTTGGGTGGGGTTTGCACCATTAACATCCCAAACTCTTTGGGTAAATGGGTGCCAGGGGCTGGGGTGAAGCTTCCCCCAAACATACATCCTGTAAGAAACGGCTGCTTGGGGCTGGGAAGGTCTCTCAGAGGTTAGAGCACTGGCTGCCCTTGCAGGATGCACCCAGGTTCGTTCCCAGCACCCATAACTTCCTGAAACCCCAGTTTCAGGGGATCTGACAGCCTCTTCTGACCTCTGTGGACACTAGGCATGTGCGCAGAACACAGATGTACATTCAGGAAAATCTCATACATATAAGTAAAAACCTTTTTAAATTACACAAAGAGAAGAAATGACTGCCTCCTGGAGTCAAGTAAGAATATTTATTATTGGCAACATAATTGTCCCACTCTTTCTAGAGTTCTTCAGTTAGAAGTTGTGCCAATGAAAGGGATAAGTCAATCACCAAAACTTTATTAGTTGAGCAATTTTCCTAGAAAAAAAAAGTAAAGTTTGATAGCCTGCAACATCTAATATTGTTGTCTAATCTTCTATCAAAGCCCCAAATTCTCAAAAGCCAACTATAGTTGGGTTATTTTTATTTTTATTTATTTTTTTTTCTTCTCTCTCTCTCAAACAAATACACAGAGACTCTTCTTTTTACTCTGTGGCTGGCCCCTGACATTTCCCTCTCCTCCTTTTCTCACCCCTTGCTCACTCCTTCCTCTTTGCTAGATCTCTCCTCCTATTTATTCTCTGCCTGCCAGCCCCTCCTACTTCTCCTTATTAAACCAATCAAATGTTTTAGTCAGCAAAGTCACACAGCTTCACAGAGTTAAACTGTGAACATAACATAAAAGAATGCAACACATCTTTGCATCATTAAACAACTATTCCACAGCATAAACAATGTGACACGTCTTATACTAGTATTCCACAAGAGCACGCTGATTGGCACTCCACTGGCTGAGCCTTATAATGGCATTTGGAAAGATCAGCAAGAGTGCTGATTGTGTTGAAGAGCAGAAGAATTTGCTTGTGTGCAACTAGATTTCAAAATGGACTGGAAGGCGGAAGATAGCTCTGTGGGTAAAGGGCTTGCTCCACAAGCAGGAGAACCTGGGGTCAATCCCCATCACCTGTAAAAGAAGTCAGCTGTGAGGGTTGGAGAGACGGCTCAACAGCAAAGCGTGCGCACTTACTTCCCAGAGGCCCCAAGTGCAGTTTCCAGCTTCCTATGACCCCATCTTCAGAACCCCCCCCCCCGACACATGTGCAAAGACACACATACATGACGCACACGCAAACACACAGTGTAAAAATAAATTTTGAGAGTAGCTATGCTGGCACACTTGTAGCTCTAGAGCGAGTCTCTGGGAGCTCCACAGTCAGGGACCCTGTCTTTTAAATGAGGTGGAGGAGGCTCGAAAAATGGCTCTTACATAAGACCCAGGTGCAGTCCAGCATCCACATGGTGGATCACAACCACGTCCAGCCCCACTTCTCTGCTTTCCAAGTGCTCACTTCAAGTTTCCACACTCAAGCAAGCTCATAGACATGTACATAAGGAAAGCACCCATGCCATCCTCTGACCTCCATGTAAACACGTGAGGGAGCACATACGCTCATGTACACCTTGAGTGTACGCACATGCTAAAATCCCATAAAACAACAGAGACTAGAGTTGTGCTGCAGGTGGTAGAGTGCTTATGTAGCATCACAAAGCTCTGGCATGTGCAAGGTCATATGTTCCCGTTCTTAGCACAATGTACATGTACACATTCATGAAAAAGAAGGAAGAAGCTGGTAGCAAAAGAATCAAATGAACTCGATGAAGAAGGAAGAAATATTAGTGTTCAAATCTCAAAATTTCCACTAGCTCTTGAGGGAAATGTGTATTATAAGCATCTACCTAAGAGACTGGTCTAAATTGAATGTTCATGGAGATCAAGAGTTAACTAGGGATCAGAGTGAAGGCTCATGTGTATCCAGCAAGAGCGTAACTTCATTAGTTAAGCCTTTCCTAACAACCTTGATGCTGTGTAGGTTTGCGGTGTGCACACTTGGTGGGTTGGAAAGTCTGCTCCTGGGAGTGCCAGTGTGCACTGGTACAGATATCTAGAACAGTACAGTTCATAAGAATCAGTATCTTAGAGCAACCAGATGTCTGTGTGGGGAGTTAACAGTCAAGTGTGATAATTCCTGCAGAATGGAAGTGAGGTAACTATAGCTCTAGAGTAGTGGCTCACAAATAAAATATTGAGGTCACGTGTAACACAAGTTCTAGTAGGTCTTAATAATAAAAGCCCAGAGTCACATATATGGAGAAATGTTGAGAGATCAGAGAGACGAAGTTGCAAAAACCCCTAGCCTCCTTACATACTCATCTTCCCAGCTGAAAAGAGACTGAGCTCCTGTCTCCTCCCATCTTATCGCTTCCCCTCTCCACCCAGACATATGATTTCCTGCCTGTCTGTACAGACCTCCAGACCTCTATGGTTAACTAGTGGCTAGTTAACCTCTGCCCTCTAATCTTCAGACAAGCTTTAGTTGTTAAAATATAAACAAGATATCACTACATTTCCCCACTTTTGCCTAAAATAAAAGGTTATATGTACTAAAAGAAAAACTATATACAATAAGGACAATAACTATAAAAATATAAATAACAGGCAATGAATACATGAACAATGGCTAGTCTATTAATAATTGACAAATTCAGAGTGAATACTCCATGTCTATCCAGTCTTGGTGAGTACAAAAAGTTGTGCCTAATTCACTTTCTGTTCGAACTTGCATTACCTATCTCTCAACCATATACACTTTACCATTATTTAGTGTGAATTTGCTTTCTGAATCTGATAACAGGGAAAATTATAACTATAAATTCGTTAGCTCCATCAGAGACCTGACTAAGCAGGAAGTGCAATCAAGCAACTTCCAAAAAAAAAATGTGAGAAATGACAGAAGCATCTGGCTTCCTGGATAGTCAACCGATGCTCTGCAGTGTTGGAGCATCCATCTTCGGCCTACTGGCCTGGCATATATTGACACACTTAAATGAGAAGCAGGATAAAAATACCCCAGTCTGCCAGAAACCCAGGAAGAAAACTGATTACTTCTTAAGTTCTGGTATCATAGATTAGTGGCCTCAGACTTACAATTGCAGGGATCAGAAACTGCTCAGGGCCTTGTTTTACTGATTGATTAAATGGAATCTAGATAGGTATGATTCTTGTAGCTGGGAAACTGGCTGCTCATTGGAGAGTTTGGACTGGAACTTTGAGGTGTTGGTATCTTTCCACTGTGCTACACAAGTACCCTGTCTGTAATTCACCTGGGTTTTCCTGGTGCCATTGCAGAGAAGGATCTTCATAACTTAAATGATTTCATCAAAACCCTGTACAGATTTGTCATTTAAATGCTGTGTATTTCATGTTGTCTGCTTTTTCCACAGGGCGGTAACCAAGGCTTAACAGTAGTAATTCAAGGACAAGGTCAAACTACTGGACAGTTGCAGTTGATACCTCAGGGGATGACCGTCCTTCCAGGGCCAGGGCAGCAGCTCATGCAAGCTGCAATGCCCAATGGTACCGTCCAGCGATTCCTCTTCACCCCGCTGTCAACCACAGCCACGACCAGCAGCAGCACGGCCACTGCCTCCACAGCAGCAGGTAGAAACACTGTTGCCACTTGTGCTGGCCTTTGGAGTAGCAAGGCCCAGTGCTCCGCCTCCAGCCTGCTTGAGAGCTGGACTGCTGATACGGTCATCCTCTGTGTTTCCACGCCTTGTTCCCAGACTCCCCGTACCCTTCCCGAGTCATAGAAAGCAGGAAGGAATAATGGGTACCATGACACCAGTGTGCCATGTGGAGCCCTCTTTGTCCTGCGTGAGCTTAGGGAGAATGAGTTCGTGCAGCTGAGAACCAGCCTCCTGCAAGCCCTCGGTGCCTGTTGCCATGCCATAGTGAAAGAATGCAGCTGGACAGAGTGCCTCGGCACGCCTAGATGACATGCAGGGAGCGTCTCAGCTCCCCAGCCTAGGAGATGCCTAATCCAAGTGCACCTGAGTGGCGGGCTTACCTCTTCCAACCTGGGCTTCAGGAAACCCCTTCATAGCCCCCTTTCACCACACTCTTCCATCCTGAAGCCAGGGAAATCACTTTGTCTTCCTTTTTTTACAGGGTCAGAACAAAAACAGAGTAAATTGTCACCCCAGACCCAGGTCCAACCAGCCACAACCCTGGCGCCAGCTCAGTCTTCAAGTGTGAGTCCTGCAGAAGCCCGGCCACAGACTCCTCAGCCTGCCACACAGCCCCAGCCCCAGCCCCAGCCCCCAGCTCAGCCTGAAGTCCAGCCCCAGCCAGCTGTCTCGTCCCATGTCCCTTCTGAAGCACAGCCCTCCCAGGCACAGTCATCTAAACTCCAGCAACAGTGTCAGCCTCAGAGCTGTGTCCAAGGACAGTCTCCTGTTCGTGCCCAGAGCCCACCACTGACTGGAATACGTCCATCAGCTCCATCCCAAGTGACCCCTGGACCGCAGCCGCAGGTTCAGACTGCAGCCTCACAGGTGGCTTCAGGCCCACCCTCCACCTCTCTGCAGACGCCTGCACAAGGCCAGCCACAGTCACAGCCCCAGGTACAGTCTTCAACTCAAACTCTTTCTCCAGGACAGACATTCAGTCAAGTTACTGTCTCGTCCCCATGCTGTCCTCAGCTACAAACACAGCAGCTGCAGCCCCAAGTCATTACTGTGCCTGAGCTCCAGCAAGTCCAGGCTCTCTGTCAGATCCAGTCCCAGGTTGTGGCTCAGATACAGGCTCAGCAAGGTGGTGGTGTGCCCCAGCAGATCCAGCCGCAGTTACCCATTCAAGTTCAGCAAAGCAGTGCTGTGCAGACCGAGCATGTTCAGAGTGTGGTCACAGTGCAGGCAGCCAGTGTGCAAGAGCAGTTGCAGAGGGTTCAGCATCTCAGGGATCAGCAGCAAAAGAAGAAGCAGCAGATAGAGATTGAGCGTGAACACACCCTCCAAGCTTCTGCCCAAAGGGAAATCATTCAGAAACAGGTAAAGACATTAAGTCAAAGCAGCATGTTGGGTAGCGTGAATTACTGTGCTGTGTGGTAGACTTAGTGCTTTGGTTGTGCTAGGATTCTTGAATGAGACATGGTCACTGGTGGATAGCCTCAGAAGACCAGAACACTGCTTGCCCGTTCTGGTTCAGGACCTAATGGATATGTAGCACCAGTGCTTATCAGAAAAACCAAGTGGTAAGGCCACCGTCAAAATGTAGCGATTCATTTGAAGTCATTTGATTTGCAAGTGTCATTCCTTCATTTGCCTATTGACTAAGCAAATTGTGGACAGACTGAGTTTATTTGCATTACTTGCCACACCCTTGTAAAAATGTCTTAAACCCAGATGTTTGTCCATAGCATCCATGTAAGGTGGTAATGAGCAGGAGGGGCATCTTGGAATAGTATGTGGGTGCAGGAAGTCACTTAGACAGCTAGAGTTCTGCCAAAACGAAGCTGGTGACCTGCAGTCTTCCCGAGGACACTCCGGTCATCAGCTACCTGCTCCCGTCAGCACTAGGCAAGAGGTTCCAAGTTCTGAGGTAGCAAGTTCTGAAGCACTGTTTTCTCCCTGAGCTGTATCCGCATTAAACTTGTCTCTTTGCAGCCACATGGGATGTTAGGATTAAATTCCGTCATATATATGATTGTGAAGGTGTAAGGTATTATTTCTGTGAACGTAAATCCTCTGTGACATGTTCAAATCCCAGCTCTTGTATTGTTTCGTGTATAAGCCGAGTGAGTGTTACTCCAGGAGCTGTCTTCCAGATCTTTGTAAGGGCCAGGGTACTCTTCAACCTGGTGGCTGCAGTGTGTGGAAACCCTTTGGAGCATAAGAGTTGGTGACATTTTTGGGCTTACTATTTAATCTCAAACAAGTTGGTTGACTTCTCTGTGTCTCTGTTTATTTAGAAAAAAAAGTGTCCCTATATTTCAATGTTACCATGGAGAATAAACAATGTCAAGTGCTTAGCTTAATTCAGAACTTGGTGCCCAGTAAGAGCCCGGGACCACCTAGCCACTTTCTTTTTATCTGTGTCAGTTAGACAGTTCTTACTGGTTCCTACATCAGCATGTGCTGTTATTTCTACCTGTGTGCTAACTGAACTTGTGTCTGTTATAAAATGTGCATTTATGGATTTGTTCTGTTCTCAAGGTGGTGATGAAGCATAATGCTGTAATAGAACATTTAAAACAGAAAAAGACCATGACTCCAGCTGAAAGAGAAGAAAATCAAAGGTAGGGAGAGACACAGGCCCACCTGAGAGTCTGCACAGTTTGGTTTGCCTTTGGTCTTACCCAAGCTTAATGCCAGGAGTGGTTATGGTTGCTCCTGGAAACTCTGCAGTCCGTTTGTACATCGTCTAGGGACGTAGACAAATGGTGCCTTACGTGTCAGGGTGGAGCAGCCAGTGTTACAGAGGTTGTGTGTTTTCCTCTAGAATGATTGTGTGTAACCAGGTGATGAAGTACATTCTGGATAAGATAGACAAAGAAGAGAGACAGGCGGCAAAGAAACGCAAGCGCGAGGAGAGCGTGGAGCAGAAGCGGAGCAAGCAGAACGCCAGCAAGCTCTCTGCTCTGCTCTTCAAACACAAGGAGCAGCTCAAGGCCGAGATCCTGAGAAAGAGGGCACTGCTGGACAAGGAGCTGCAGATCCAGGTGCAGGTAGGAGCCAGCGGCCGTCAGCCAGGGCTGGGTACACCTGCTGAGATTCCAGCTCCCTTCTAGAGTTTATATTAATGTGTTGGTAGCATGGACAGTAAGTAATAGGTGTGCTTGGATTTTGAGAGGCAGCAGGCCTTTCTAAGTTTGTCATCCTCCAATCCGAGAGTGTTGAACCCTTTTTGGGTTTTTTTGTTTGTTTGCTTGTTTGTTTTTCTAGACAGGGTTTTTTTTCTCTGTATATCCCTGTCTGTCCTGGAACTCACTCAGGTCAGACCAGGCTGACCTGAATTCACTGAGAACCGCCTGCCTCTGCCTTCCGAACCCTGGGATTAAAGGCGTGCTCCAGCACCGCCCCAACATGGGCTGACCAGTCTTAGTTATGTTGGATGTGGTGTGGCTTTTATTATCTGTGCTATCATTCGTCCAGAACACATTTCAGAAGAAGAATGCAGAGTAATGTGAACATAGGAAAACACACTTATACAGACTTTTCCTAGCTTGAACGTGACACTGTAGGTACTGCTCATCTATTCATACATATTTACAGAGCTTTCTGATAAAGAAGCAGGCTATTGACAGCATCAAATAAGAAAACACCCATCAGACCAGCAAATGGTCTTACATGACGTAAAAGATTGGCAGTCTTCCCACAGAAGCCAAACCAGCCAGGGCCAGCAATCAGGTTATTCGCTGGAGGAAGATGAAAGAAGGAAGCACAAACTGCAAGAAAGAAGACAGAATTGGTTTTTTTTGGGGGGGGGGAGGGGGTTTGGTGTAATTATTACATTACATCCCCAGGGAAACCATATTAAAAATTTAACAAAATTAAGTTTGACAGCATTAGAATTAACACTGAGTACAACCATTGTCCCAGTTTCCCGAGACAAAGATCCCATTCACAGTAGAATCAGAAAACTTAAAATGCAGTTCCACACTTGGTGCTATGATACAGTGCAGGTAAGAGTTATTTCAGTTACAGCCCCACACATGACATTAAGTGATTGTTCCAGGCCTGGTGTGGTGGTGCACACCTCTAATCCTGCCGTTGGGAGGCATTCAAGGCCAGCCCGGACTAAGTCAATTGCAGGAGAGCCAGAGCTATGTAGTGAAACCATGCCTCAAAAAAAAAAAAAAAAGAAAATGAAAAGACATATCTCAGATATATTAAAATTTTAAAGGCAAAACACAAAACAAGGTACTAAGAAAAAAATATACTTGCCATTTTTGAAATCTTGGAAAGCAATTCTTGAAAGTGTTTTATTATTTCCTTTTCTCTTCTTGGGGGGGATAGGGTGCAGTTTTGTTTGTTTTTTGAGACAGGTTTTTCTCTGTATTGCTTTGGAGCCTGTCCTAGAACTCACTCTGTAGACCAGGTTGCTCTCAAACTCACAGAGCTCCACTGGCTCCCAAGTGCTCATTTTTCTCTTCTTACAAACATCTGCATAAGGCCTCTACATTTGGTCTGTTTCAAACAGGATCTTTCTTTAGCCCAGGACTGGCTTCAAATTCCTGGGCCTCCTACTTCAGCCTCTTAAATGCTGGGATTACGGCCTATACCCCGTGTCCAGGGATGGCTCTCCTTTAGAATGTGTAGGACTCCTTCCTGTAGGTGCAAGGGTTCCATCCAGTTAGCCTTACAGCAGCCATTATTGTTCAGATGCTGGGAATCTTGCATGTCTAGACGTGGAAGGAGAGTCACAGGCTGAGGAGGAGGGCTACAGCCCTTCTTCAGCTGCCATCAGTGTGTGGGGATTTTTTTTTTTTTTTTTTTTTTTTTTTTTTGGAGACGTGTGGAGATTAGCATTTTCAGAGGTAGAGAGTGAGAGAGAGAGAGAGTTTCTCCATTCCTGCCCTTCATCTTCTCTGTAGGAAATGCGGGAATTTCTGATCTGCTTTTTTAACCTTCTGGGAATTGAATTTGGGTCATCAGGTTTTTGTGACAAGCACTTTTACCCACTGCACCATCTCTTTGGCCCAGGATCCTCATTTATGGACAAACATGTTTAAAGACACTAGTGTTGTTTTGGGGGTGTTCGTTTGTTATGGGATTTGTTTTGTTTTGAGACAATGTCTCATGTAGGCCTGGCGAGTCTCAAACTCACCTGTGTTGCAAAGGACGACCTTTAATTGGTAACCCTCTTGCTTCTCTCTCAGTAGCTAGGGCGGTGCACCTAGTTAGAAAAGTGTATTTTGTTGCCTAGGTCTCCTCTCTTAAATCCAAACAAGGACAGTCTTTCTCTTACTCCGTTCATGTTCGCTGCCCGCCAGGCCATGCTTTGGGTCTTGAGTTTGGTTCATGTGCAGACTCCTAACAGGAACTGCTTGGATGAGCTTGATACACGCTTTTCCCAGCACTTACTAAGGAGGCAGAGGCAAGCATATTTCTCTGAGTTCTAGGCCAACCTGGTCTACAGATTGAGTTCCAGGACAGCCAAGCCAAGGCTACACAGAGACCCCAAAAAGGAAAAAGAATAGGAGGGATGGTATTTGTCAGGTGGGGATAATGTCCAGCTCCTGCCCAGGTTGCTCCTTCACGTAACCGTGCTGGCCTTCTGTCTGTCTTCACTTGCCCACAGGAAGAGCTGAAGAGAGACCTGAAAATGAAGAGAGAGAGAGACATGGCACAGGCTGTACAGGTCAGTGCTGCTGCATCACCCACACCCTCAGTGCCAGCGCCAGCGCCAGCGCCGCCACCGGCAGCCCCGCCGGCTCCTCCTCCTTCACCTCCCTTGGCACACGGTCTGCCATCTGCGGGCCACCCCACAGCCCCACTGCCCGCCGCTTCCCAGAAGAGGAAGCGGGAGGAGGAGAAGGACTCCAAGTCCAAAAAGAAGAAGATGATCTCCACCACCTCCAAGGAGGCCAAGAAAGACACCAGGCTGTACTGCATCTGCAAGACGCCCTACGACGAGTCCAAGTGAGTGCCTCTCCCCAGTGTAGCTGTTGAGTGAGCAGTTGGCAGCACCGGGTGAGGGCGAGCCAGTGTGAGGCTGGGCTTCATCTTGCATCAGATACTTGGCTTGACACAGTGCAATAAGGGGGCTGTTCCACATGCTCATGGGTCTTGCTTATCCTCAGCAATGTCCTTTTCTGTCAAAAACAAGCTTGCTGTGGCCTCTTTGCTTTCCCAAAGCGCTTTGTGGGCCTGCTCCTAATCAATCTGCCAGCACTGCGTCTTGCAGCCCAGAGTCCATTCCAAAGTGGATGGCACAGAGGTGTCACATTAGTTCCCGTTTAAAAAAAAAAAAAAAAAAAAATATTTTTGTCTAAGTTTCCACTGCCTTACTGGAAACAAAAGCCAAAAGAACACATGGTGTTCCTTACATCAGTTTGTGAGTTTGACATTCAAAAATTGGTGGGCGCAGCAATGGGAAGCTGTTTTTGACAGTTTTATATTTGGTGACATAAATGAGATTTTAGAGATATTATTGGTCCATAAATATGCTTTTCTTGTTCCTTTTTTTTTTTCAGTTATTGCTATTATTCACTGTTTAACTTCTGTCCAACATGCAAATATAGGCCAGTGTTTTACAGTACCAAAAGTTTAAGTGTGTCTTAAAAAATGATTTAGAATTAGAAATTCTTCCTGTGTGTATGTGGTGACAGGGAAGCCACTCCAGTGTGCTTGCTAAGTCACCATCAGTTTGTAAGTGTCTGGTGGAAACTCTGCTGGGAGACAAGCTGCCTGTTGAACTCAGCAGAGTGTAAAGGTCCTCACTTCCCACTGTGTGTCCCTCATTAGTGACTGTCCATCGTGTAAAGAGTGGCACTCTGAACTAATTCCCCCAACAGTGCAGTACAGGCGTGCCTCACTTTAAGTAACACGTGGCGGATGGGGAACCTTACACAGTGTTCAGTCCACAGAAGACCATTTTGACACAGCTTTCCTGGGATACTGGCGTTGCTTAAAATGAGGTGCACCTGTACATGTGCTCGTTGTGTTAAGCCTGCCTCATTATTTTGTGGCTATTTCACCTTTTTTTTTTTTTTTTTTTTTTTTTTTCTCTTTTTTTATTTTCTTTTCCAGTTTGCCATTGACATTTCACGGCAGTCTCCTTCACTCCTTCTCACAGTTGGAGTAGGGAGGCGTTTGTCAGTGCTTTGTGACCTCAGACCAGACCAGCCTGGTTTGGACATTGAGTCACTAGCTGCTAAGGAGAGTTGCTTAAAAATGGAAACTCAGGTCCTGAAATGCCTTTCAGAGCATGTGGCACCTGACGAGGCGACATTTCTATGGCCTCAGCAGGTCCTCACCTGAGGCAGGGCATGTGGGAGTCTTGGTGCAAAAGCAAGGGTCACCGGGAACAGGTTGCCATCTCACTGTGTGTCATTCCTGCACAGTCACGAAGCATCCCTCTAGGTTAACTTGCAGCACCGCCTGGTAGAACGGAAGGGACCAGTGGTGACAAGGCCAGCCTGGTAGCCTGTGAGCAGTGCAGGCCTGCACAGCTCCCATTTGCTACTTGTCACTGCTCCCCAGGACCCAATGTCACAGCACCTGGGCCCCTTTCATCCCTCCCTCCCGCCCTCACACACTCCCCTTGCCAACTCAGTAAACAGGAGTGACTGCATACATGGACCTCTCCTAGTTCCTCCGTACCGTGTCTGACCATTTGTCTTCTCCACCTGGCTGGCCTGCATGTTCCTTGTACTGTAACTTCTCCTCCGTGTTTGCGCTTCGCTTCGTTTCCAATTGTAAATTGTGAGATACATTTTCAAACCTATCTAAGAAATAGCCCTGATATTGAAATGGCTTCTGTAGAATAGGTTTGATAGATGTAAGTCTTTGATTCTTTGGCTTTGGTTTTTGTGCCTGTTACAGTTTCACACACATTCATTATGAGGAAGCCATTACATTACCATCAGTGTGTTGTTAATTTTTTTTTTTTTTCAAATTCCAGTATGTTTTTAAAGAAACCATATTTCACTAAACAATGTGTTTGTTGAAATCGATGTGAGTGATGACATGTCCACCCTTGGCACAGTGTCAGATGCTGTAGTTAGCCACTGGTAGAATGGTTGGATTCATAGTGTTTAGCTGACTTATTGCAGAAATTACCCTGTAAGAAAGTGAAGCAGGGTAGGGAAGACAGATTTACATGCCATGCAGCTCAAAATGACAACTACATTGTCATTTCATTGTGAATACTTTTAGGTTCTATATTGGCTGTGATCTTTGTACTAACTGGTATCATGGAGAATGTGTTGGCATCACAGAAAAGGAGGCTAAGAAAATGGATGTGTACATCTGTAATGATTGTAAGCGGGCACAAGAGGGCAGCAGTGAGGAATTGTACTGTATCTGCAGGACACCTTATGATGAGTCACAGTGAGTTGATAAGAGCATCTGTTTGACGATTCAGGAAGCCGCATTGTTCAACTGGTCACTTAATGTGAAAATGAAAAGCAGGGCCTCTCTGTGGTGTGTTACACACCTACGTTACTGAGCCTTTCTGGTTTTTTCTCTTTTCCCTCTTTCTCTCTCCTTCAAAATGTATGTTGCTTCCTAGTGAATGATTGAGTTGCATTGGGGGAAATGTGGTTAAAACAGTACATTTGATTCTTCAATATGTAATAGAAAGTAATGGAAACAGCCTGACTGGGGACCTCACCTTGTCTGAAGGCGTGCTCTGTTACAGGCTAGAGAAGCACCCTTTAGGATAAGCTGTGGCTGCTCCTAGATCACTGATTTTGAACCCTCATTTGATACGGGGCTAGTTGAAAGCTTTTTTTTTTTGGTTTTTCTTTTTGCCTTATTTTGTTTTAAGCTTTAAAATCAATCAAATGTTTTACATTTTTTTCCCTCAAAATTGGTTCTACAGTAGTACATAGTATTTTTACTACATGTTTGCTATTATTCTTAACATCCAAAGTACTTGGTTAACACATTGGAATGTCAGTCTCGAGTAGTAAAACCATAATACTGAAGCTATTTTATACCCAGGGGTTAGCCAGTCTTCAGTTGCATGGTGGTTTTAAGGGGATCTAAGTAGAAGCAGCCCACTCTCTCTGGCCTCACATTTCCATTTTGGATCTTACAGATTTTATATTGGCTGCGATCGATGTCAGAATTGGTACCACGGGCGCTGTGTTGGCATCTTGCAAAGTGAGGCAGAGCTCATTGATGAGTATGTCTGTCCACAGTGCCAGTCGACAGAAGATGCCATGACGGTGCTCACACCACTGACAGAGAAAGACTATGAGGGTTTGAAGAGGGTGCTGCGCTCCCTACAGGTGAGACTGCCGAGTGCGGCGCCTGAAGGTGAAGCCAGAGCCGCCTGCCTGTGGAGATGTGTCTAGGGTCTGAACTTTGCATTCTCTGGTGAGCACACTTGGCTGTGTCTCAGGACTGGGCGCGAAGGGATGGACAGAGTCGTATGTGCCAGCGACGTGACGCTTCCCAAATGCACCTTCTCCGCTGTTTCTTCTCTAAAGAAAACTGTGTCTCACAGACGTAGCTGAGCAAACGGTTACTCTCTCACTAGATTGGGGGTGTTAGAGATGGGTCAGGACAGGACATTGGGTTAAATCTCCTCTGTAGCCACAGTCACAGTGTCAGAAGAACTGGAAACCAGTACCAGTTCCTTACCCAGCGGTGGTAATCACTGCACACTTCGAACCGGTCCAACCCAGCATTCCTCAGCTGGCCGGTCTTCACGTAAGAACCAGAGTACAGGTTTCATGACTCTTGCTGGTGCTCCACACCTGTCACCAAGGACCTCAGAGCCACCTTGGAGGACTGTAACTGTAAATCATACTCATTTAAGAAAATTTGTAACTGCCACCCAAGTCACCTTGTGTAACCATTTCATTTCTTGAATGTAGAGCTGACTTGAATTTTCAGGCTTTGTTAACAGATCCAGTGAGTCAGCTGAGTGAGTGAGTGTGTGTGTGTGTGTGTGTGTGTGTGTGTGTGATTAGCACTTCCGATGACAATAATGATGCTTGTTCTTTATTGTAGGCCCATAAGATGGCTTGGCCTTTCCTTGAGCCGGTAGACCCCAATGATGCACCAGACTATTACGGTGTTATTAAAGAGCCAATGGGTGAGTGCTCCAGATGAATAGGAATGTGCTTCTCAGGAGTCATGGGCAGCATTCTGTTGTCCATGATGCTGTTGCATCAGGAGAGTGTCGGGAGGTGACAGCACAAACTGTATCGTTCGCTTAGAATAGTCACTAGAAGTAGCATTTGAAGCTGAGTTTCATAGGTACTCTTAGTCCAGGCTGACTCAGACACCCCCCACCAACCCCCATCCCCTCACCCACTCCCCGCACCTCCCAAGTGCTGAAGTTACCGGAAAGAACGCTGCAGTCTGGGAATAATCTACTGAAATTTATATATGCATGCCTTTGAGCTAGGAGCGTACCTTGGGGATAAGTGTATATATTCATGGCAGCAGTGTTTGTGATGGCATAACACTAGAAGTGCAATAAACCACCAGTCCAGGAGTCACTGAGTCATACTGTATGTGAGTGAGGTTGTACAGCTGTACAAAGAATGGGTGGAATAGGGAACCCGGCCTGAGGAACAAGCAGATCCAGCAACCACAGTGGAGAGCCAGGGGAACATAAAGCCTTTCCCAGGAGAAAAACACTATTAGACTAGTTAAAACTGAGCATACCAGGGCTGGAGGATGGCTCAGAAGTTAAGAGCGCTGCTTGTTTTTCTAGAGGTCCTGAGTTCAATTCCCAGCAACCACGTGGTGGTTCACAACCATCGGTAATGAGATCGTGCCCTCTTCTGGCTTGCAGGGATATATGCAGGCAGAACACAGTATACATTATAAATAAGTAAATCTTTCGAAATAAAACAAAACAAAACTGGGCATACCAAAAGGGGAGCTGCATGCAGTTGCATTTCAGAGAATGTGCCAGCCATTGAAGTTAAAAAAGTAATGTTGAAGAATTCCCAAACCACTGACATTCCCTTTAGCTGATAGAAAAACTGTTTTTAAAGCCAGCTAAGTATCCTTAAAAGAAGGGAGATTGAGTCAGATCCATCTGAGAGCTGGGTGGACAGCTCAGGGAGAGCACTTGCCTTCCTAACTTAGAGGCCTGGACAGACAATGATGCCATCTCCCTGTTGGTCTTTTCAGAGCAGTGGTTCTGATGCTTTGTGTTGAATTTACTGGAGCTGGAGAGATGGCCCAAAGGGTGGGGCAGCTGGCTGGTCTACCAACAGGCTCAGGTTTGAGCCCCAGCACCCAATGGTACAACACCAACTTTAACACAGGGGGTGCAACTCCCTCATCCCTGCTCAGCACACAAACACAGTGTTTGAGAATTGCATTTTTGTTTTTGTTTTTTGATACAGGATTTCTCTGTTAACAGCCATAGCTGTCCTGGAACTAACTCTATAGACCAGGCTGGCCTCGAACTCACAGAGCTGTGAGTGTGCCTCCCAAGAGCTGGAATTAAAGGCATGTGCCACCACCGCCCGGCTGTCTTGTAGTTTTTGAGACATTTCATTCTCTAGCCCAGCTTGACCTTGATTTCCCACTCAGAGCTGTCAGCTCCTGAGTGCTGGCCTGACAGGTGGGAGCCACCACTCCTCGTGTTCTCTTTTCAAGAGCCAGGATGCTTTCCTGTCTCTTTCCTTTTGCGTTTGTTATGTCAGTTCAATATAATATGCACCTGTTCTTAGATATGTCGAGGAAATGCAGACCCGCAAGACTTCGTTGAGAGACGTGAACACTGCCATCTGTGTCTAGGCTTTAAGCAATAAAATCTCACATTCTAGTCTTCCCACGCCCTTCCAGTTTTGAAAGTCAGTCTCGTTCTTGTCCTGGATGTCCTAGAACATGTAATCCTCCTGCCTCAGCCCCCTGGGGTGCTGGAATTACTGGAGTATACCATCATTTCCAGAGACAATTCTATATTTACTAAAAGTTCATTAAATGTATATAAAAATGTCCAGATGGTGTAGACTAACTTTAAAAGTGGTAGGTTGCTTTGAGGGCTGAGGGAACCAACATGGTGTTACTGAACCTATTATAATATGATAAAGACAGCTGGTCAGTGGTGGCGCATGCCTTTAATCACAGCACTCAGGAGGCAGAGGTAGGGGGATCTCTGTGAGTTTGAGACTAGCCTGATCTACAAGAGCTAGTTCCAGGACAGCCTCCACAGCCACAGGGAAACCCTATCTCAAAATACCAAAAGAAAGATGATAAAGCCACTACTATAGATGACATTTAGTCATAATTCTACATTGTGTTCACAATTTGGAATTTTAATTAACCTTAGTATGCATCGTTGTTTGTGTTTGCTATTTTACTATAAAAGATAAAGACAGGCTGGGTGATGGTGGTGGCAGTGCACACCTTTAGACAGATCTCTGAATTTTAGGCCAGCCTGATCTACAGAATGAGTTTCAGGACATCCAGGGCTACACAGAGAGACCCTGTCTTGTAAAAACAAACAATAAAAAGCAATTGAATGAAAGCTGTTCTGTGTAGTTAACTAAAAATGAAAGCACCTTCTGAGCAGCAGCCAGGATTGATGTCTTAGGACCCAAAACAGAAACAGTGTTGACCAGTCCCAGGCATCCTTGCCTGGACTATCCTCCAGATATGGGGTAGAACATTCAGAAGAATTCCAAGTAAACACGCATGTTGAGTTCATGAGAGCTGCAGGGCGTGACTGCATTGGGAGAGCCTTATAGCTGTGAATGTATTTTATGTTTTCTGTTTTTAAGACCTTGCCACCATGGAAGAAAGAATACAAAAACGGTATTATGAAAAACTGACTGAGTTTGTGGCAGATATGACCAAAATTTTTGATAACTGCCGTTACTACAATCCCAGTGACTCCCCCTTTTACCAATGTGCAGAAGTTCTTGAGTCATTCTTTGTACAGAAACTGAAAGGATTCAAGGCTAGCAGGTAAGCACGGGTGTTCAGTAACCTGATGTAAATCATTTCTTCAAAGTTTGTACTTCCTATTGAAGGATCGGCCAGTGGTTTGTTTGTAATAAGTTTGTTCCTTCAAATAAAAATACTGTTCCTACAAAGTCAAGGCTTTAACCCCAGCACTCAGGAGTCAGAAGTCTGTGATGTTGAGGCCAGCCAGAGCTGCATAGTGAGACCCTGTCTCAACAAACAAACAGAAACAGATGATGGCACTGAGGTCTACTCTTCAGGATGGGAGCAGTTATTACTGGGAAAGCTCCATGTCTATTCATATGGTTAAAATGAAATCATTTTGTAAATGCTCTCCGTGGGAATCTGTCTGCAGGACCTGTGACAAGCAAGGAAGGCTCTGGCTCCCTTTGAGCCACCCATTGATTAAGCAAGTGAGAAAGTTCTCCAAACTCTCGAGTTATGTTTGCTACATCTTAGAAGTCATCAAACAGTAGTTTTCCAGGTGTTTTTCTAGGCTATGCTAGATCTGAAGTCCTCCATGTCTTTCTAAACCATAAAAACATCGTAGCAATTTTGCAAGAAATTTTGTTACTGTTACCTCCCCGCCCCATCCCAAGTCCATGAAGCTCTGCATCCTGGAGAGGTTTGGTGCTTCTCCAGTGATTAACAGCTATGTCACTGCTACCATTCTGTAGCCCTAAGAATCACCATTCACGGTACCATATCCACCCAGCCAGCCAGTCATCCTAGATGTTCTGGCTGTGTGACTTGGGTGGGTTGGGGCCTGGGCATCTGTGTATCATCCAAGGTGTTCCTAAAAGATTCCTTAGCAAGTATTAGAGTCAGTGTTGCGGGCTCCAAGTGAAGCTGAGTGAGAGCACCGGCATGCATTCTCAGCCCTGGGTCACTCCTCATTGTACACAGTGATGCAGTGCTCTACCACGTAGCCTCCCTCTGGGGAAAGTCTTGGGGCTATTTTCTTTCCTCTCCCATAGCAAGGTAGATGGTTCCCAAGAGGTGTGTTTTAGACAGTGTTGAAACATGGGCAGTAGCGGAGGCTTTTAAAAGGTAACAGCAGAGTACACTAAAATCTCATCAGTGGTGAGCAGAAGGGAGATGAGTCCAGTACAAACCCAATCCAGATGCTTTAGACAATTCAGGAGCGATCCCAACATACCGCCCAGAGAGCCTTACATATGTGAATCCCAACACTTAATAGAAACCTAGAGAAGAGCAACCTAAGATCCGTGTAGCTATGTTGGAAGTGTTGCTGGCATCTAGCCCATGGGGGCCAGCGAAGCTGCTTGCCAGACTGCTGGGCAGGCCAGCCTCCGTGACAAAGAATGAGCCATCCCCAGAATGTCATGAGGGACACTAAAAAAGCTCATTCTTCGCTGGAGATTAAGTTGGAGACCTAGCAGATACTGCCTCAAATAGTGAAGAAGTAACTGCCCAGCAGGGAGCTCTGAACTCATCCACAGCACCTACCTACCAGGTGAAGATTAGCAGACATGCAAGGAAAGCCTGCATGGAGAAGGAAAAGTCCATGGTGGAGCAGAACACACACCCTGTATCATGTCCTGAGAAATTATCAAGCACACTACACCTACATCCGGGAGAACAGATTATTGGGAGTGAAAAAAACCCAAGATAGTAAAATTAGGAAAAGACAGTGATGTAAGGGATGAAAGTTCACATCTTGGAAATTATGAAATAAAAATGTCACGGTGCCTGATACTCGGTGAGAAGGAACAGACAGGATGAAGGAGACTACCAAGGTCACTGTCAGAAAGTAGAACGTTGAGCACCAACTTCCTCTGTGCTGCACGGGATGCTGGGTAGTGGGGAACCTGGGCTCTGCCATTTGCATCCTTATGGAGAGAGGGGCACTGCTGGTACACCAGGGAGAGGACAGCTGGGAAACAACCACTGCACGTACAATGCTGTGACGCCGCTAAGTGCCAAGGCTAAAGGAGCTTCCAGAAGACAGAACAGAACAGGATTAGACCTGTACCAGTCTTGAGGAAATGTGTCAGCTTACAGTATACAGATGTGGGAACAGTGCAGTGGAAACAGTACATGGTTAACATGTCAGGAAGGGGCTCATGGGTTATTACAAAGTATGTGCTCCAGCAGACATAAGCACATCAAGGAACAAGACTTAGCCCCTCCTCTAATCCCAGCATTTGGGAGGTAGAGGCAGGCAGATCTGAGTTCAAGATCAATCTCGTCTATAGAATGAGTTCCAGGACAGCCAGGGCTACACAGAGAAACCCCATCTCAAAAAATGGGGGGTGGAGGAAAGACAAAAGAGACAGGACATTGGGTGCCTGGAGAGGTTTAAGTCTTTAATCTCAGCTACAGAGTGAGACACTGACTCAAAGCAAAGGAAAACTAGACCTTAGAATCCAAGAAACAAGAGGTCCCAGCAACCAACCAAGAATGCATGGAACCTACGTGACGTTTTTATGTCCAATATGTGTAACAAGTGTTGATCAGAAGACAACAGTGTCCAAGACAGGAATGTCTACAGAGAGCAAGCGTGTAGACCTGAGCTAATTAGTGGAAGTCAGAAAACCCTAACCCTGTGAAGTAACCAAAAGCAGGGAGGGTAAGAATGCTTTCTCAGAAATGCTAGGTGCTGCAGAGAAAGAGCTCTGGGGCCACAAGAGCTTTGGTGTCTTGAATCAGCCTAAGGGTACTAGGTGAACTCACTTCTCATTTGCGAAAGCAAAATAAAGTTGGGAGAAGTGAGAAGTGCAGCTAAGGAGGGCAGGAGGAGACAGTCACTCCAGGCCCAGTAAGCGGAGCAAAGGCTGCTGACCCCTTCATTGGGGGGGTAGGGGGACGGTGTGTTCCCATTCATGCCTTGAGCAGGTAGTCATCTGATGACATCTCTAAAAGTGTCCTTTTAAAAAGTTGGAAAGGAAGGAAGGAAGGCTTTTGGAGGTAGCTGGGATCTGGAAGCTGGGTACATGGAGTCCTACCTTTGCTGCCAGACTTGCAGGTAGAATTCCAGAGTGGAGGATGAAAGGGGGGGGGGGGAAGGCTTTACAGTTCTGGGGCTTGTAGCTAAACAAGGATTTGCGGAAGATAGGAAAAGGCATAGTAACCTACCGAGGTGTGTGTGTGTGTGTGTGCTTCATTAAGTACACATGGTAACACTGGCCTGCACTCCCAGGCGTAAGGGACCACTATGGCATCTTGCCACCAAGTTGCTTCCGTGGCTCTTTGGATGGTAAGGCATTGTGTGTGTTTAAGAACACCAGAACTGAATTTAGAGGTTGGCTCAATTCTGCTCCAGTGCATTGAACATGAAGAGTTGTGCAGAGGCCAAAATGGCTGACTGTTGCGTTGCTGTTCTGTGCTCCAGGCTTCTGTTCTCCCCAGTTAAGGCAGGCACAGGGCACGCGGACCTCTTCTATTTCTGCTGTTAACCTGGCCACACCTTCTGTTTTTAAGTTGTGATCTCCCAGATTGTGTGTACATTATTCTCATTTCTTTGTTCTGATTCATTTATACCATCCATGTTCTTTCTTTCTTACAGATTGTGATATCTTTAGTCTGAATTTTTAACTGGAATCAGAACTGGATGTTGAGGTCACTATTTTACCACGTGATTGCCTAATTCAAAATTCCCCTCCCAAAGGTTGAAACTAGTTAATATAATTTTTTAATGTTAAATACAGATGTGTAGATACATAAAAAGTTTATTCTGGCAGCCATGTTGGACAATGGTTTAAAGAATTGTGAATGCTCAGGGTGCTGTACCTACCTGCTATTGCAATATAAAGTGCTACGAGTTAGTCCTGCTGCCTGTACAGTAATTTGGTTACTAACAGAAATTGTGAATGGAACTTTCTGGACTTCAGTTGAAAATGTGATGCTAATATTGCTACTTGTCTTTTGATGGAACTTTCCACTTCTTGCATCATTGTAAATAGCCAGGCACACACACCTTTTACTACAGTAATGCTTCTTCCTGTAAATGTCTTTGTCCCATTTGCTGAAATGGTGTAATCTTAATAGACAATATATAGTCGCTTATATATACATATATTTTTAAACATTGGCTTTTTCCAGTGAGCTACCATGTTGACTGTACAGTGAAGAGTTTTACTACTATAGCTTAAAGATTTCTTAATCGTTAATTTTTTATCTTTGCTTGCCAAGGGTGAGTGAAAGCCTGGCTGCTTCCCCAGACCGGCCTTGGCGTCCACATAAAGTATCATTGTCTCAGAAATGAAGGGTGCTTAATTGTCCCCTTTTTCTGTATTCTGTAGGTCTCATAACAACAAGCTGCAGTCTACAGCTCCTTAGAGCTCAGCGTGTCACCTAAGCGAGACACAGCGAGAGGCTGGTGGCCTGAACTATTTAAGTTAAAGCCACATGTTTTCAGTCAGGCTATCCCGACAAGGCTTGACCATAACCTCGTTCCTATTGGTCACAACAGTCCAATTGTATTCTTGGCCAGTTTTGTCCAACGGACAAAGGAAAAGCAAAGTCAACGGCACCATTGTCTTGTCGAGAGCAAATGGCTTTACCAATGTGGCAGAAGCAGGAAACTTTTGTTTATTGAAAAAAAAAAAAAAAAAAAGAAAAAGCAAGAAAAAAAAAAGATGCTATGGGGTCAAGTGTAACTCCGTGGGTGCCACGCCTGCTCTTCAGTGAAGAAGCTGCTTAGAGTCTCTCAGAAAACTTTTTGACTGTATTTATTTATTGTTGCAAAAAAGACGCTTTTTTATTGCTGCCCTCATTTGTCAGCTAATTATTTTTTCTTATAAAATCCAGCCCTGGTTACGTGTATCCATCTATATCTTATCATGATTCCTGTAGGTGAAGTACAAGGCGACCTCTAGATGTCTTTTCTTTCTATGAAAGGAGCTGCTATGTACACATGTGCACACACAACTGGGAATCAACAATGAGTTTATTGTTCATGGTAGACACAGATGAAGCTTGCAGGAAGGCTGGGATAAGTAAGTGGTCCTGGACTACAGACTCCGTTGCCTTGAATACACCAGTACAAACTGTCATTTACTCTGCACCAGGCTAAATGAGCAAAATCTATTTGAAGGTATCTTGTTTGTAAACATTTGTCAGATTCTAATTTTTTTCTTTTTGTATGAAAATTCAACTATGGATGTATATGAATCGAAATAAATGGAGATAATTTTTCTCCCACAGATGGAGGTCTCTTTGAATGTGCGCTAATGATTGCTTGTAAGCCTTTGTGGGGAGAGGGAGGGCCACCAGGAATCACAGGCAGACGGCCTGAGTTTCTCCAGCAGAGCAGAGGCCCTTCTTTTCCTAATTCCCAGTCCCTTGTCATCACATCAGAGCTCCTAGGGAGCTGACCTCTAATAACAGGAATATGACACAGTATGTTATCTTCATCCCCACCTTCTGCAGTTCTAGGCAAATTACCAGTCACCCCTGTCTGTGTGGGGTGAAGGGTGCTGAGGTGACCGTGGCCTCCCCTTTGTGTTGGTTGGGTTCCTTTGGGTTTTGTTTGTTGCAGTAGGGGAGAGTCGTCCAAGACTAGGGCGCAGGGTGGAGCAGACAGGTGAGCTCTGCACGAGCCTCCTGCCAGTGTCCTTGCCTTCCTTCCCCTTGTGCTGCTGCTCTATGTTGTGAAAATCAGCTGGAGTTGGATTGTGCAGCTTCGCAGACATTTCCTAGACTTTGCACTAGTACATATTAGCCTTGTCCTGCTGAGTTCTAGAATCTACCTAGTTTTTGTTTTTTAAAAGTCCTCTATGTTTGGTGTAGCCCTGCTATGCAAAGCCTTCCCCAGCCCATAGTTTCTCGACAGGAAACTGTGGCAACAGTTGGCAGTTCTCTTCTCCAGGCTCAGGTGTACAGGTTCCTCTGGGCTCACACGCTCTGCTGGAGCCCACCCCCTCTGTACATAAAGATGTCGCTTTAGCCTATGCTTACAGCTAAAGAGACTAGATGCTCAATATGGTAACAAAGCTTTTGCTTAAACTATCAAGGTGGAAGTAGTTAAATACAGGCTATTTTGTCCTCCTCGTTTACAAAAAGAAAATGTTCCATGTTGTAAGCACCGTGCTGATGCAGGAATTCTACATTTTAATGCTATGATGTGATTCTGCATCTAGCCACATCACAGTATTCCTGTACTATCTTATTCATATATCTAAGTAAACATGGGCTCGATCACTTCAGCTTGTTGCAGCAAGAGCTTTCCTACCTGTAGGCAATAGATTGCTATGTTTTTAACAAATTGTAGCAAATTCTAAATAATTCTTTTTTGTACGTAATAGGACATTTCATCCTAAAAAATAAATAAATAAATAAATAAAGTAATGTTTTTGACATTGGATTCTGTGCAGTTTCTAATGAAACAATGGTTGGTTGGTTTGCTGTTTGATATATTTTCTGTAGCTGTTGGCATTGCCAAGTTGTACAGAAGGGGGGTGGGTTGTGGATTTCTGAGACCAGGAAGATGTTAATTTCATATTGTGTACTTAATGGTATAAAGACTTTTGCAATTTCTATCACCATGTAAAGACATTTTATAATTTTATCAGACTATAGAGCTTTAGTCTTTCAAAAGGAATTTTTGAAAAACGTACATTCTTATTTCAAAGCTGCTTTTTCTACTGATCTGAGGAACTTCTGCTACTCAAAGAAATGTTAAGCTGTTCGCTTCGGCAGCCTGAGTGGTCCGATGCGCATTGGTGATATGGTTAGGGTGTTTCTGCCCGGGCTTCGCACCTATAACCTGTACGTTCTTTGCTTTGATAGATTTCTTTGGCTAAAAGTATTTTTAGCATTTCCTGTGCTTCATCTCCAAGTTCACAATTTGAGGCCATTTCATAAGATATATTTTCATAATAATGTCTGTGAGGCTTTTCTCTCCTGTGCAAATTGTTCAGGGTTTGTAGTTACTGTCCTACAGTAGGTCAGCGAAATTGTGACCTTTTGGAGATGTTTCTACAGTAAAAATGACCTTTTTCTATTTGGAGTGGCCTGGAGTGCTGTGTAGGGACCCTGACAATGTGTTGCTGTTTGTAACCTTTCCTCTTAAGATCTGCAAATAAAACTTCTTTCCCTGTGTCTGTCCATTTGTGTCAGGGTTAGACCTCAGTTCTCGCGTTTCTAATGTAAGAGCCAACCTGGTGGCTATACACTTAGACTGACATTTACTGTGCACGTGTGTGTGTGTGTGTGTGTGTGTGTGTGTGTGTGTGTGCGTGCGTGCGTGCGTGCGTGCGCGCGCGCGCGTGTACTTGTGCATTATTTTCATGTGTATGAGTGTTTTGCTTGGATATATGTATGTACACCACATGTGTGCCTGATGTCTGTGGGTGTCAGAAGAGAGGGTATTGAATCCTCAGGAACTGAATTCACTGTGGCTGTGAGCCACCGTGTAGATACTGAGAAATGAACCCAGGTCCTCTGCAAGAGCAGCCAGTGATTTTTAACTGCTCAGCCATCCCTCCAGCCCCCAGGATTTACTCTGGAGGCAGATTCCCAGCAGGGTCTTGAACTTGGGAGTGTTGTTCTCTCCCTAGCTAAGTACTGGCTCGTAGGCCCATTGTGGGGGTGGGCAAGGATGCTGGGGGAATGGAGAGACTCTTTCTAGTCATGTGGTGTAGTTTGAGGGATTTTTAGATGCATAGAATGAGATTTTGGGAAAGACATTACTGAGCATAGCACATTCCAGCATAAACCAAATTTCAACTGATAAAATACTGTATTTTCAGACTAGAAGAGGCCATGCACAGTTCACTTGGTCACCTCAAAACTGAGTTGAGAAGAGAATTGCACGATGCCATGTGAGATTTTTAGAGACAGTTTTTAAACTCAGTATCACACATACCAAAAGGCAGGAGGAGGAGGAGGGAGACTGTCTTATAAACCTTTACCTAACAAAAGAAAAATGCCTCTCCCCCTCCTTGAATCCTTGAAGTAACAGCTTAATTTGAAGGACAGATGCTGTTGAATTCATTGAAGGCAACTGAGTACTGTATTGCTGAAGGACTGTTGTGTATGTACATTAACACAATGGGCCCTTCAGGCTTTGGAGCACTGACCCATGTTCTGGGAGTGGGAGTGTGTGTGGAATCTATCAGTGGGACAAAAGGATTGAGACGACAACGATTTGCTCATCAAATTTTCCTATATAGAAATTGCAACCAAGGTCCTTTTTGCCAACCTGGAATCTCCAGCCCACTACTAACTGACCATGACTGAACCTTGCTAGCCTTGTCTTGCAGACCCAGCCTTGAAGGATGGCTTTTATTAATTTTTATCCAGGCAGTCTCTACAAGTGCTGGGTTACTGGAGAACCCTGACCTCCAATATATTGAACCTGAGGGTCTGACATTGGCATTTTATGTGTATGTATGTGTCTATAGGGAAGTGTGCATGCCAGTGCCTGAGGTAGCCAGATGCCCTAGGGATACAGAGAATTGAGAGCCACTTGATAGGGGTGCTGGGATCTGGACTCCAGTCCTTTGTAAGAGAAGCAAGGATCTTAACTCTGCAATCTTTAAAGCCTCCTCTTCCCTATTCTGGGCCAAAGTCTCTTGTAGCCCAGGCCGGCCTCACACTTATGTAGCCAAGGATGACTTTGATCATACTCCTGCCTCTACCTCCTAAGTGTTGGCTTACTCTATCACACTTGACATTCAGAAACAAAAAAAAAGTCAATGTCATCTTTGGAAATTCTCTAAAAGACCTTCAGCTGGGAATGTGTGGTATAGTTGCAAAGAGCCTGCAGTGCCCTTCGTTGGTCCCATGAGCTCAAGTATAGGGCCAATTTGGCCTCTTTGGAAAGTGCCGGCCAAGGCTGCTTTGACTTTTCTCGAACCAAAAGAAACAAACAAGTCCCTTTACCACCAAGTAGAAGCTCTCAGCTTTATTTCACTAATGTTTCCCGTGCCTGAGGCAATAGTTACCACATTGCAGTTTGTTTTTTCCTCAGACAGGTCTCTGTCCCTGGCTGTCCTGGAACGTACTAAGTAGACCAGGCTGGCCTCAAATTCTCAGAGACCCGCCTGCCTCTGCCTCTTCAGTGCTGGGATTAAAGGTGTGCAACGACTCCCACAGCATTATGTTCCTTTGTGGGACAGGGTTTCACATAGCTCAAGTTGGCCTTGAACTCTTGACACACACACAGCCCTCAGACTCCCAAGCACAGGATTGCAGGTTCGAATCACCACATCTGCCTACACATTGTGTCTGTCATAGCTGTGTTCCCAGGCAACTCTCCAGGGTTCCTCTGCCTTCCCTTTGACAGTCATCTATATATTCACTCCATTCTCACTGTGCCTTTGGCTGGCCTGGGAGTCACAGATACCCACCTGCCTCTGCCTCTCCAGGACTGGGATTGAAGGTTTGTGCATTCTTAGCATCTATTCTGAAATACAGCCTGATCCTCTGGGGGGAAAAAGCAGTATGTCCTTGTGGACTCCAGCATAAAATAATTAAACTGAGTTAGTGACTGAAGGTTTTTCACACCAAACAAAACAGCTCCACTAAATGGCCTGTGGAGTGACACTAATGAACACTGCTTCCAGGGTTGGGGAAGTAAGTTTGAGGAAAGCTTTTTTCCCAAATCTTTATGATCATTGAGGCCCCCAAAAAAAGTAAAACAGGTGCATCCAAGATCTGATTTCAAGGCAAAATTTACTGCTTTGCAAACAGTGGTGACACTACCTCTTAACAGAAAAATGACATCAGATACACTGGAAAATGTGCTGGAATAGATGCCAGTTTGGCACAAAACAGTTTGTTGGGAGCAAGGAGACATGGCAGTACACAAGGGTACGTCAGGAACACACTTTGAATGGTGTTTTGCTTGAATTAGCCCTTGAAATGTATAATTTTCATACTTAGCCTGGGCTCTGACCCTAGTGCCTCATCTAAATGACATTTCATATGTAAATCAGTTCTGATGGGAATGTTTATTCTCATGTGTGGAATTTAAAACTCGATGCTTTAAATACAAAATCTGGCCCAACACATGATAGATACTATTCAAAGTTGTATATTTAAATTCAAGAAAGGTTTTGTGTACTATTTCTACTGGAAAAAAATGTATTAAATTAAAATAACTTAAAAAAAAGGACACGAAGTGGTGTGGTCTGTTGATTGGGCAGGTCAAGTGTGTGTTCACTCTGTTACTGCTTTGCCGAACTCCCCCACTGTGCTCTGGAGCACACCTTGTCAGCATTCTGTAAATGAAGTGGCAGCTTTGAAGTTAAGCTGCACAAGGAGTTCTTAAGCTGTGGGCCCAGTTTCAAATAGAAAGAGCCCTGCTATGTGAAGACCAGCTTTCCGTGTCTTACTGCCGAGTTCACAAGTGCCAAGTCGGGTCTGTTCAGATGCACCGGGTGTGGCTGGCACCTCGAACTTGCCACTCCCGATTTCGGTTAAATCTTTTCACATAGCTGCTGCTACCCCTGAGCAGTCCGTCTCCTGGACGCAGGCGTCCTCTCAGGACTTGGAGCAGAGCAGTAGGTAGCTGCCGCCGCTTATGGTAGATGTGACCCATCACAATATACCGGCTTCCTGAACAAAAGACCCAGGAGAGAAATGATGTCATTTAAATGCCTGGAAAGAGTAAAATCTGAGCTGGACTCTTGTCTTGCTAATGATGCACATGCATGCATGTGGCAACTTCTCTGGCCTGTAGGCAACAGGTGGGAAATCTACGGAGAAGACAACCTGCATACAGCCGACCTTAGAGACCAAAGCCCCGTCTACCCCAGAACATCTCTAGGAAGAGATGAGAACAGGTGTCCCCAACACTGCCACCACCCAAAAAACCTTTATCAACTCAGTGCTGTACAGTAGAACCCCTTAGCCACCACCTTTCAAAATGATGCTGGGATGTTTTGGGGTTTTTTGGTTGGTTAGCTGGTTTGTTTTTCTCTGTGCAGCCCTGGCTGTCCTGGTACCAAGCTGGCCTCCAGCTCATGTGAATCCACCTGCCTCTGCCATCCGCCTCCCGGATGACACTTGGGAGCATCGTGCCCAATGTTTTTTGTTGTTTTTCTTTTGCGAATGTAGCTTAGTCAAAGCTGGCCTTGAACTCTGTATGTGGGGGATGACCTTGAAGTTCTGATCCTCCTGCCCCCAAATCCCTCCTGGGTACTGGAGTTGCCTGCCCGTGTACACTACCAATCCTGGCCTGTTTTGTGCCAACCGCTGTTCTCAACTTTTTAAGAGAGCTGAAATAGTACTGTAACCTAAATTCTATTGGTTGGTTACACACTTCTGTCCCACAAAGCTGGGATTGAGCCCCACCAGTAAGCCAACATGTGTTGAAGCAGGAGGACTGCCGTGAGTTCGAGGCCACCCTGGGCCCCATATCAACAGCCTGTCTCAGACAAATTCTGGTAATGTAACTGATGACTTGCTTGCCTGGTGTATGAGGCCCTGCTCAATTCCTAGTCTTCGAAAGGGGTTGGGGAGTGTGGCGACCAACAGAACCCAGGATGCAGCATTAAGGTCCCCAACAGCTAGAGGCAAAGGCATGCAGATCTCTGAGTTTGAGACTAGCCAGTGAGCAAAGTGAGTTCCAGGACAACAAGGGGTACAGAGAGAGAGAGAGAGAGAGACCCTGCCATGAATGAATGAATGAATGAACGAACGAACTGAATGAATGGCACTAATGAGCTGGTCTTTTGGGTCATTTTGATACCAGGTTTAAATTCTGGACACGGCTTATGGCAACTGGAGGAGTCCAGGGCTAGTATGTGCACTCGGAAGAAAAAGCCGTCGGGAGTGATGTACAGGCGGCTCATCTTGTACAGCCCGTCGGGGTCCACCAGCAGAGTAACCAGCCGCATGCCCGCGCCCAACACGTCCACGTCGTGCACGATCCCATTCACGGCTGCTTTGGGAAAACGGGATTTGGAGAAAAGTATTACAGCTAGCGCCAGTGTGGGTCCCGGCGCGCGGGTTCCCGGGAGGGTGGGCGCGCTCACCGAATTCGCTGGCGCAGTAAGCCTCGCGCTCGTCCGCGTCCGCGCTGCAGGCGCGCGCGCAGGACTGGGTGTCCGGCTCGGCGTGCTCGGGCGCCAGCGCCCGCGGGCTTCCGGAGGGCTGCGCGGCGGCGCGCGGCCGGTTCGGGTGGGCGGGGCCGGAGGCGCGCGCGGCCTGGGGTCGCGGGCCCCGAGAGCGCGCGCGCCGCGGGGAGTCCTCGGGCGGGGACGCGCGGTTGTCCGCCTGGGCCAGGCGCGGGCCCGGAAGCCCTGCGGGCGAGCGCGCCGCATCCCGGAAGCCGGCGCGGTTGTCGGCGGGCGGCGCGGGCGGCGCGGGCTTCCGGCGCCGGGGGTCGGGCCAGGCGCGCGGCCCTGCGTCCGCGGCTCGCGGCCGGCGCGCGAACTCGGGCAGAGGCTGCGCGCGCGGCCCCGGCGTTTCCCGGGCGCCGGGCTTTCGGTGCGGCGGCGGGGCTGCGGGAGAGAGTGAGGCGGTGAGCCCAGGGGAGGCGCGACCGGAGCACCGGAACCTCGGAGAGAGCACCTGCCGGAGTCGTGCACGGAAGGACCGCAGCCTGCCTGCAGCACCAGGCCTCGGCGGGAGGCTGGCTGCGGGTTCGAGGTCAACCTGGGCCACGGTATCAAAACTATCCTCAGAATAAACAAGTGAATTCAAGAATGGAGCCAAGGAACTTTGCCAAATCTTTTCACTCTTCTATTTATTCTAGAGCTAAACACTTCGGTAACATTGATGAAACTTCTTTACCCTTTAGTACATCACACACACACACACACACACACACACACACACACACACACACACCTTTTTTGCTATTTACAGTTTGTTGAGAAAGTAGCAAGAGCAAGCCCCCAGGGGAAATGTCTTGAGTTACAGGTTTCTCCTAATTGTTTAAGCTCCCCTGACAACAGAACTATTTGGTTTTCCCATCCTTGTTTACACTGTCATCTTGGTCTCCTGCAGCATCAAGCATTTGTGAGTGAATTTTTATCTGGCTTCTTGGACACCACTTACTAGTAAACAACAGCTTAGAAAGGATTTTAAAAGCTCGGCTGTGAGGCAAAGGCCTCTGGTTAAGTATAAAAGCATACATTATTTCTATTATACCTTCCCATTAGAAAATCTCACAAGTACCATGAAGACACTTTTTTAAAAAATTATTAATGATTTTTCTCCAGTTCTTCATACAGGTTGGTGCACAAACTTTAGCTAGCTTGAAATCTGGGCAACTTTCCATGCACAGTTACACAATATCACCTCCCAGTGCCCCTCTAGCCAAGCACAGCCCTGAATCTACTTTTCTCTCCATTTGCATTAAAGAGCTTGGTCTGGCCCTTGCAGCTTTGACAACGATATATTGATGCATCTTGCCAGATGAATAATTCTGAAAAATCAGCTTTCTCCGAGTAGGAATGGCTAGCTATACAGTCTGTGCTTATGCAAAGCCATTGGTTCTAACTTCTGCATTAAACCGGTGCACTGAGCACAGCCAAATAAAGTTCTGGTGGCTATCCAACTCCTGACTGTCAACTGTTGACCTCAACTGCTTCCCCACTGACACCACCATCTGTTGTCATGGGAAAGATGGTTTGATATTTGGGTTAAATGCCACTGAAGTCCTTCGATTTCCATGTGTGTGTGGGGGGGACACTAAAATAAATTGCCGTGTGAGGTGTGGAAGCTGTTTTTCCCAGAGATAGTGAAATGAACAAAACATCCTAACAAAAACAGAACAAAATGTCACCGAGACCTTCTGATTTGTACCCGTGTAAGTTGTAAGCCCCTCCTCTCTCTCCCCCTCCGTGTGTGTGTGTGTGTGTGTGTGTGTGTGTGTGTGAGAGAGAGAGAGAGAGAGAGAGAGAGAGAGAGAGAGAGAGAGAGATTAAGGTTCAGGTATACAGAGGCTATACCAAAGCTGCGTGGAGCGGGGCGGGATGCCCAGGGCTGTGGAACCATCGTTGGCCTGTGTCACCATGCCTAGCCTGGGAGCCTATCCACAGCGAGCCGCGACCCCTTTTGACCCTTTCCCTCCTCTGGGATGCAGCTATTTAACATGCAAAGTTTTCTCCAGCCTGCCTGGCTCTCACGCGATCATTCCAGCAGCTGAACCCGCGTCTTTCCTTCCGAAAAGGCTGCCAAAGAACGAAAACCTGGGAGACCCTTGTCGCCTCTCGCTGGCACGCACGCAGACCCGGAGTCGCCTGTCCCTCAGGCTCTGACCCTTGGCTCGTCCCGCCCTGCATCGCGCCCTTTCCCCGGTCCCTGGGACGCTGCCTTTCAGCAACCTCACCTTTTCTCTCCGCCACCGGGGCTGCGGGGGACCATCCGATGATCAAACAGAGAAGCCAGAGGGCTCGAGCTGTCATTTTTGTAGACAGGGTTCCCAGGGCTGGAAAACGCAGCAAGGGCTTTGGCTCGCTTCCTCTCCCCCCACCCCTTCTCCACACCCCCCCACCCCCGTTCATGCTAATGAGGGGCAGCCTTTGGGGAAACGGGCATCTCGGGCTGCACAGACCATTGAAACAAAACCGAGCGGCGGGGATCTCGCCCTCTTCCCGAGGGGGCTCGGATGGATGTGTGGTCCGGACTGGGATCTGTGGGCCAGGAGAACACCACGGCCTTGAGCTCTCGCTCTGGGCGGGTGGTGTGCTCGGGGTGAGGTGACAGGACGAGGGGAGAGTGAGGGCTTTGAGGGAGCTGAAGGGACAGGATGAAGGAAAGTGAGTGATGAAGTCAACAACAAATAAATCAGTGCTTAGAATAGCTCGGGCTTGATGAGGGGAGGGGAGGAGAGGGGAGGGGAGGGGACGCCAGATGACAAAAAATGCATTCCAGAACGTGTGAGGCAATTGCCAGACAAACCAAGTTTGGCAAAGCTGTTTGACTGTATGTGCAATCTTGATATTCTAGAACCAGAAACGGGGCGGGCAGGCGAGGCAGCAGGGGAGGGGGGGGGATCAGGGGAACCCTTAACAAAATATTTTTTTCTTGTCAGCCCTGTCCTCCTCCGCCTTCCTCTTCTCCCTCTCTTCAGTCTTTGCTCCATCCATCTATTGATAACTGGTATTCAGTTGACCAGATTCAAATGTATACTGAATGCATAGATTGGCAATCTGACCCGGCGGTGCTGGCACACACCTTTAGTCCCAGCACTTGGGAGGCAGAGGCAGGCAGATCTCTGTGAGTTTGAGGCCAGCCTGGTCTACAGAGTGACTTCCAGGGCAGCCAAGATTGTTACATAGAAAAGCCCTGTCTCAAAAAACAAAAACAACAATAAAAAAGATTGGCAATCCACCTTTCCAGTTCTAGGGGCATCTCATTGCTTGGGGAAAAGCCCACTTTTTTATCTCTAAGAAAAGCACATTCTGCCTCACAGTGGTGGCGTCTTTAGCCCCAGCACTCTGGAGGCAGAGGCAGGCAGATCTCTGGGAGTTCAAGGCCAGCCTGGTCTACAAGAGCTAGTTTCAGGACAGGCTCCAAAGCCACAGAGAAAACCTGTCTCAACCCCTCCCCCCCAAAAAAAAAGAAAAGTACATTCCTTTCCCTGACACATCATCTTGTTTAGATTGGTCTGTAATTAAAGGTCCCCTTTCCCTCAGATGAAATAAATGTATTATTTATTTATTATTTTTCTGAGACAGGGTTCCTAGGCTGGCCTGGGACTCACAGAGATCTGCCTGCCTCTGCCTCCCAAGTGCTGGGATTAAAAGGATTCGCCACCAATGCCCAGGCTGAAACGGGCTGTTTTAAAAAGCAAAACAAAGGCTGGAGAAATGCCTCATAGGTTGAGTAGTTACTGCTCTGCTCCATCATCCACCCACAAGGTGCCGGTCTCAGAGTTGTCTGTCCTGGTTCCAGGGCACCTGACCCTTCTTCTGACCTTTTTGGGTTCCTGCACACATGTCTCGCTCTTACATACACTCAGGCACACGTGCTTACACAAAAACGTAAGTGGATATTTTTAAAAAATCAAAACTAAAACACAGAAATCAGACCGTAGACAGCATGGAGGGTTTGTTGTAACCATGATCCTGGCCAGGAAGAGACCCAAAGAGGGACACTGTAGACCAGGACCCTAAAGTGGGTCTACTGTGGTCTGAGGGCTGCAGCAAGCCAAGCATGTTTACCAGAGAAGTGAAGGGGATGGGAGACAGCAGTTTGGTCATGGAGTACCTGTCTAAACTGCCAACAAAATCAAGTAGACAGCCAGACAGTGGTGGCGCACACCTTTATTCCCAATACTTCGGAGGCAGAGACAGGTGAATCTCTGTGAGTTCAAAACCAGCCTGGTCTACAGAGTGAGTTCCAAGACAGCCAGGGCTACACAGAGAAACCCTGTCTTGAAGACAAAACAAAACAAAAATGAGAAGAGAGCTGGAATTGTTACAGAGCTGGCTCAGTGATTAAGATCACTCTGTTCCCAGTATTCTGTCAGCTCACAACCGTTTGTAACTCCAATTCCAAGGGATCTGACGCTATCTTTTGGCTGATGCTGGTACTGCATGCACATGGTGTATATATACACACACACACACACACACACACACACACACACCCATGGTAGCAAATCTTAAAACCGTACAATTTTAAAAAAGAAAGCCGGGCATTGTTGGCGCACGCCTTAGTCCCAGTACTCAGGAGGCAGAGGCAAGAGGACTGGATCTCTGTGAGTTTGAGACCAGCCTGGTCTGCAAGAGCTTGTTCCAGGACAGGCTCCAAAGCAACAGAGAAACAGAATAGCTTCCTCAGTCTCACCAGCCCTGTATACATGCTCTAGTGGCTCCCAACTGAGGACACAGCCAGCCAGGCAGTCACTTTAGTTTCAAGTTCTGAGTGCTCAGACTAGATGTGAGCTGATCTAATTCTCTCACGTGCTTTTTGTTTTTGTTTTTTCCACACCAAGCAGAATTAGGCTTAAGCTTTCTCAGTTACAACCACATTTCAGACATGCCTTTCTGAGACTACACTTGTCACCCAGTCCCAGTTCAAGGTGTCTCTGGAATCCCACGGAATTCCACTATGTTAGTATTGGGAATATCCACAGCCCATTTCCAGAAATATAGAAGCAGAGAGCGTGTCAAGATATCTCCCAAAGCTTCTAGAACCTCCCAGCATGGTAACAACTAAGAGAACTTCCCAGAATCCAAGGCCAGCTCTTGGCCACTGTGCCGATTAGACAAACTGGAGTCACCTGGGAAGAAAGAGGCTCGATTAAGGGGATTGTCTCCATCCGATTGACCTGCAAGCATCTATGGGTGTTTTTCTTGATTTGTGATTGATATGGGAGAACCCAGCTCTCTGGGGTAATGCTAGCCCTGGGCAGGTGGTCCAAGCGATACAGAAAGCAGGCTGAGCAAACTTTGGGGAGCGGATCACAAGCAGTGCCTCTTCTCAGTCTCTGCTTCAGTTCCTGCTTGGGGGTTCCTGCCCTGACTCCCCTTCATCATGGATTGTCACGGAAGCGTAAGATGAGACATCCTTTTCACCTGATGTTGCTTTGGGTCAGGGTTCTATCAGAAACGACGGAAACCAAACTGAAATAGGCAGTGTCTGGTTTGTAGCCTCATAAGCTAACTAGGGCTAGGGAAGGGACCTCAGTGGTATAGCACTTACCTAGCATAAGAAAGGCCCTGGGTTCAATATTCAATATCCCATAAAAAAAAAAGCTCTTGTTGGCCATGGTGGACCATGCCTATAATCCTAGAACCTATAATCCTAGCAGGATTGCCACAGGTTCAAGGATAGCCCAGTTTATGTATGGAGTTCCAGACCAGCATCCATCCAGTCAAGTCTATGTGATAAAACCCCATTTCAAAAGAATAAGAAAGAGAGGAAGAGGAGAAAGGGTCTGATCTATTTAGACTAGCTATGAGCGTCTATTTTATTTTATGTATACAGGTGTTGCCTGCATACATGCCTGGTGTCTGTGGAGAGCCAGAAGAGGGTGTTGGAGCCGCTTGGAACTGCAGTTACAGTTATGAGCTACCCTGTAGGTGCTGGGATTCGAACTTGTGGCCTCTGGAAGAGCAGCAGGTGCTCTTACCTGCTGAGCCATCTATCCAGCTCCAAATACCAGCTTCTTCATTTACAATGAGAAATTGACTGGAGCAAATTCCCTGTCTATAAATAAGCCATGCTGGGGGTGGGCAGGGCATGTAACTGAAGCACTCAGGAGGTTGAGCAGGAATGGCCAAGCTCAAGGCCAGCTGGGGCTACATAACAAGTTCAAGGGAACCTTGGAATGTGAAATGAGACCCTGTTTCAAAAGAACAGAAAATACTTTTCCTTTCCTTTGTCTACACGCTAGGTGTTTTGTAATGCACCACGGAGCACTGAGTCCTTCCCGTGCTTGGAATGTAAGGTCGTGTTGATCTTTCAAGGTGTCCTGTGTTCACCTGTGTGTTAATACTCTATATTCCGGTCAGCTGGAAGAGCCCTGGGGCCTGTTTTCCTTCCCCCTGACAATTTCTGATGTTTGAGTGTACCTTCTGCTTGGCAAATATTTGTCAAGTGTGTATTATGTTCTGGAATTTACCAAGGGATAGAAATGTCTTGGTTTCATGAACTTGGTGGGTCACACCTGCATTTATGGTAATGAGGCAGGGCAACCTTTGGATGGTCCACACCCTGCCCCCATAGCTTCAGGGTGAGACTGAGTCTCCAGGAAATCACAGCAGCTTAGGGAAGGGACTTGAGCCATCCCCACAATCTCTAAGGAGGAGAAAGAAGTGTGCTGGAGATTAAGTTCGGTCACATGGCCTGTGATTTCATTAGTCACACCCTCTGAGTGGAACCACAACACAATCTCTAGGCTCTAGAAGCCAGGTGAACCATCTCCAATGGTAAACTAATTGTGAAGCCAGTACTCAGAAATCGATTGTGCTACTCAGGCGTGGTGGAACACACCTTTGATCTCGGCTCTTGGAAGACAGAGGCAGGGGTTTCTCTGTGAGTCTGAGGCCAGCCTGGTCTACATAGTGAGCTCCTGTCTAAAAAAAAGAAAGAAATTGCTTTTGCTAAAAGCACTAAAAAGTGTCTCACTCAGCCCCTGAGGTAACAGAATAGAAGCTTGGCACCTCTGTCTAGGGGTGTACTTCAGTTGGTAGAGCATGCGTCTAGCATGCAAAAGCCCTGGGTTTGATCCCCAGCACTCTACACAGCATGGAATGAAGGACTGTGTTCCCAATCCCAGCACTCAGAAGACAGCAAGCAGCAGGGCTGAGCTGCAAGGCTGAGAGCCGGCAGTCCTCGTGGGCTACAGTGCGTTTGAGGCCAGCTGGGCTACAGGAAATGCTGTCCCGGGAAAAAAACCTAGGGATGGAGTAAAGGGGTGGGAAGGATGCACAGGGTGGATAGCAAAATTCACTGTAGAAGGTTTTAAATTCTCAAAGAATTAATAAAAATATGTTTGAGACAGATCCCTGACGGTCCTGGAACTCATGTAGAAGAGGGTGGCCTCAAACTCACAGAAATCTACTTTTCCCTGCTTCCCAAGTGCTAAAGAGTGCTAATTTTATTTTTTTAAAAAAGTCAGAGATCCAGGCATGGTGGTGCACACCTTTTATCCCAGCACTCAGGAAAAGACCGGCCGATCCCTGAGTTCAAGGCCAGCCTGATGTACAGGGTGAGTTCCAGGACTGCCAGGACTACACAGAGGGGGGGGGGGAGGTTCCCATCAGTCTGTAGAATAGGGGCTGCCCTACTCGCTCTGTCTTCCTAGTGTGG